GGGCAAGCGGAGGGGCGCGCAAAGCAGCAGCAGGGGCAAGCGGAGGGCGCAAAGCAGCAGCAGGGGCAAGCGGAGGGCGCAAAGCAGCAGCAGGGGCGGGTGCGGGGCGCAAAGCAGCAGCAGGAACAGGGCGGCGGGCAGCAGTGCAAGCAGCAGCGGCGGGCAGACGGTGGCAAGCAGCAGCGGCAGGCATAGGGCAAGGAGTAGGAGAAGGCATTGTGGAAGCAGGAGTTAGTAATGTGTGTGTGTGTATGTTTGCGTGTGAGGACTTAGAGCGAGAGGCGGGGTCCTGTGCAGGACGTCTGGACGTCACCGGGCCAAGAACCACACGGATCTGTGAAGAGGAACAGAATGTGTCATAAACCAGTGCAACCAGAGCTCACATCTTAAGAGTCCAGCAAAACCAGAGCTGAGAAGAATAAAGAGTTCAATAAACACTCGGCATGGGGCCATATTCAGATTTGGTGTTGCAATTATTATGGCGAAAATAACTGTGATTAACGATTACGTCACAATAATTATTCAAGTTGCTGACAGTTAAAACAGCTTATATTTACATATTTAAACAACTGTACTTTGTTATAAATAAACTGTATAAATAACTGTATTCTTATAATGTATTAAAAGTAGTAGACTATATTATGATTAAAGTTAGGTAAATATGACTTTAAACTCCTCTTTGTTTGTTGTATAGACAACTTGTAAGACCCCCAACTAATTGGAAATCACTTAACCCAATCTAAGAACATACCTATTCCTTTTGGCACTAATCAAGAAACATCTTTAATTTAGCTCAACATATGCCTTCATTTGACATGTGGAACTTGTTACGTAAGTTATACCATTTATATTGTCACCCTGTGAAATGTAACAATGCTAAAAAGCACACGGAAATTCTCTTGAAAATTCAAGACTTGTCCGTATACTTAGTAGGATTTGGGATCTAAATTCTGGGTATGGGCAGATTTTAATGGAGCAGTACAGTGGACTGATTGCGAGGTGATGTGTCATCTTATTTTGTCAGAGTCCAAGAAAATCAGGTGCATCTTTTAAACAGAATTTTAGCCTGAACCATTTGGGAAAAGGCCTGCATGCTTAACTACAATGTTCCAATAAAAGCAGCAGGAGTCCTCCTCTAGTACCTCAATGCAGGTTTTAGTTGCTAAGGTTACTTTTCCACATGTATCGTCTCACTATAGTCACCCTATTATTAGACTCTAGTTGGAGTCAATGGTCAGTTAAGTGACCGCTGGAACCTAACTCATTCTAGGTGGAGTCATGGGGAAAAACATGACACCTGCAGCAGCTATTTAGGAGATTAGAAGCACAAAAGCCCACATTTCTTGGAATGTACCATAAACATGACCTAGACATTGATAAAGGGGCATCTGCTTAACTGATGATTGCTTTTTGAGTAACGTGATGAAAACCCATAAGGACTATGAAACAGAAAAGTGACAAACCTCAAGTTGTCCTCAGAAACGTCTCGTAGTTCGGTGTAGAAGGTTGTTAGACAAAGTCTAGGTGTAATTCTCTTGAAGTTGTGCCTCTTCTATTCAGAAATTGTCGATATAAGCTCTCAGATACAAGTTTCCGATGGCTACCAAAGTTTGCAAAGTTTGCAGTGAGCGCGCATCACTCAAAAGATGCACTTGACAACAGCAGCGCTGTAGTGCTGTGCGTGCGTGCGTGCGCGCCGCCGACCAGAACTTACGTCTGTGCAGTACTGCTTCATCTCGTCAATTACGAACTCAAAAGGTCTACTTATCAAATGTCCAGTGTTTCCAGGTTCCGAATGGGTCTGATGTAGTAAATCCACATGAAACATTTGAACTATGCACAAAGTACTAAATACACCACTAGACACTACTACTAGATAGATAAATACTAAATACGCTAGCTAGATGCTACTTTAGCAAAGCTAAGCTAATGGCGCTCTGCTCCCATTCCTCCTGTACCACTGTCACTGCGCTTGTCTCTGTGCAGAGCCGCTCTTCTGTCTGGATCATGTCAGGAGATCGCACCAATACTTCTGCCCCACTGAAAGTTTAAAACAGTAATTGAGCAGCAGAAAGAAAGTTTGGAGTGAGCGAGAAACTTGTGAGGGACTGGCAAAAGGCGGGGATGGAGAACACAGCTTCTCGGCATCCCGGAGGATGCACCGTGCAACTTTCCTGGAAGTCATTGGATAGATCGATAAAGCCTGAACTTCACTGACAACCGAAACCATCCTGTCGGGATTCAGAAAGGCTGGAATAATTCTAACTGGAACTGGTGCTGAGTCTGACGGCAGCTACACAGAAGAGGAAGCGGCGCCCCGTTTACCCATGGATCTATTAAAAATATTATTGATAGAAGAGGAGACACGTCCACGCAGCATGATTTAGTCCTGTTTTAGTGCTGGTTTAGTCCTGGTTTAGACCTGGTTTAGTCCTGTTAAATCCTGTTTTAGTCCTGGTTTAGCCCTAATTTAGCCCTGGCTTAGTGCTGGTTTAGACCTGGTTTAGCCCTGCTAAATCCTGGTTTATTCCTGGTTAAGCCCTAGTTTTGCCCTGGTTTAGTTCTGGTTTAGTCCAGATTTAGTCCTGGTTTAGATCTAGTTTAGATCTGGTTTTAGTCCTGGTTTAGTCATGGTTAAGATCTAGTTTGGACCTGGTTTATTTTCCGGCAATGAGTGGAATTACAGAAAAAAAAAAAAAAAAAAAAAAAAAAAAAGGGGGTATAGCTCAAAATGTGAAAACAGGAAAATACTGGCGTGTAATCCATTTATTTCAACAAAGTAACTGTAATCCAATTACCTCTCATTGAAACAGTAATTGTAACCAAATACAGTTACTCATAATTTGTACTCTGATTATGTAACTCCAGTACATGTAATCCGTTACTCCCCAACACTGACAATACACAAAAGCACGCCCAGGTCTCATATAAATACAGGAAGATGAACCAGAGCTACAAAAATGCAAATTATAATGTATGTGAAGAAGAGGACGCAGTTCGAATGAGCAAAATCGTTTTCTAGCCTGGCCAGCCAGACCCGTGCCTACAGCTCGTGTCTCCTGCAAAATCGTAAAGCTTTGTAAACTGTTTTCTCACGCTGTCTCGTCGTTTGCTACCTTGTGGTTTTCAAAATAAAAGCATAAAAGCAGATATGATTGAAAACATGCAAAAATCCTGGCAACAAGTGCAGTTTTTCCATTATGACTTGAAGTTGGGCTATGTGACTTTTCCCATGGAGGGTACGCCAAGTGCTTATCGCCATGGAGATGTAGTTGCTTATTGTTATTACCCAGAAAGTTTCACATTATATATTTGGCATTAAACATTTATATTGCATGTTTTTCAAGATACTTCTGACCAGCAATCTAATGAATATGAGATAGATATGTTTTTATGTGATACTATGGCACTTGTCTCCATAGAAACCAGAAAATGGCAGACCCCCCCATGAGAAAAGTTATAGAGCACCTTTAAATAACAAAGGTACTGATGTTGAATTAACAATCTATACATTTAAGCACAGTGGAAAGTGCACTGCCTGTCAAATAAATATGGTGCAATAACTTTAAATGTCAATATGTAAAAACACAGTAAATTGCTTCTACTTCTACTAAATTGTGAATTGTTCCAGTATCTTAAAGGTGCATTGTGTAACTTTTCAGCTGAGGGTTTGTGACCTGCTTGTTTCTACGGATATGTCATTGCTCTGCTTCGAATAATCCTCAAAATGACATAACACTTCTACTTTACATGTATTAAATTACAGTGGGTTTGTCTCAAATAATACAAAATACAGGTATTCTGACTGTGAGCGGGGTCGCCTCTCCACAGATCTGACCTGTAGCTTGGTCTGATTTGGTCTCCATGATGTTAGAAAGGTTTGATGTGTGCTGGGAAACATTTCAGATAAAGCAACAACATCTCCACGGAGAAAAGCGTTTGACGGACTTTCCACCAGAAAAGTTACATAGTGCACCTTTAAAGGACAGCACACTAAATGAGAGCATCTGGGCACACCTCATCCAAACAGTTTTTTATTTTATTTACCACAGTACTTAGCTAGAACAGAGATGAGTCCCTGCAGTGCTTCTCAAGGACAAATAAAAGCAATGATATTTCTGATGTAACCAGCTTCTCCAATGAGTCAACAAAAGTTAAAAAACACTAATTTCTGGGAAATCAAATATACAGGCTTCGAATTTTACAATACCACACAATACAGGACTGCACATGACAAAGCAAAGGGATATATATTTTTACACCTGATTTGAGATTTACAGGGAATTGAATGCAAAATTATTCTAATAAAGTTATAACTGATAGGATTTCTGTAAAGGTTACATTCCAAATTAAGTAACAGTAACATTTCACTTTTTTAAACATGTCTTGATATTGGCTCTTCATAAACAAACAAACAAACAGTATTCAGTATTACAGATAATTACTTTGTGGTACTGTTTTGACAAAATGCATGATACCCCTCTGCTTTAAAGATGCACTATGTAGCTTTTCTGGAACAGGCTCTGCCACCTGCTTATCTCCATGGAGATGTTTTCACTTTGCCTTGAAGTTCCACGGAATGGCATTATGTATCTTCATGGAAACAAGCAAGCAATGCCAAGTTACAGGTCCGATCTATGGAGAGGCGATCCTGCTCACTGTGAGAACGCATGTTTTTAAGGTATTTCTTTACAATGAACTCAATAAATACAAGACTAGTGTTTAAAGATCCTATACATGGAGTTGTGTTTAGTTTCATTTACACATTTGAGTTAACCTGGTTTACTACTATGTTTTTTAGTAGTTGTATTGTGTTTGTATTGTGCATTGTGTTGTTCTGCGATCAGCAGTGGAGTTAGCAATTTGGAGACCCTAGGTGAATTATAGTTTGGGGCCCTCACGATAATGCACCGTTTTTTTTGTTGTTGTTTTTTTATATATATTTATTGTTTGCTTTCACCCATTGTTCATGAAACATGCACATCTCTGTTTATTTGAATTACGGTGGACTGGAAACTTGCTTTATTAGTTCGATCGCCGACTAGATAACCATAACTGAAAGCAGTTAAATTTTTTTGATAGTACAATTACATTTTTGTTTACATCCATTACATATGATTATGATTATTTTTCTTATGGTTATTGTTTAAATGTAAACTACTCTCATTTAATGTTGAGAGAAAATCAAACTGCTCTGAGGCCTCGACCGTTAGCGGCAAAGAGGGCAGTTTTTGGGGGCTCCTCCAGGTTTGGCAGCCGCATACTTTTGCCTAATGGTAGCGCCGCTTCTGACTGCGATTGTCCTTGTCTATCCTGTGTTTGCGTACAACACTTTGGCCAGCTGTAAAGTTTTTAAAGTGTCTATATCTCCAAACCTCAAAACGCTGTGTTCCACCTTGTGATGTCACATAGTGGTCGTTTTCAACAGCTGTCTTTCACATTTATTTCAGTAGAGATTGGCAATTCCAGAACTGAAGTAATCCAAATGATTCTAGTGAAGGTGTGTGGAGTTTAAAAACACAGTGGAGCACTTCATGTATTACCACATGACATCACAAGGTGGAACAGAGTGTTTTGGGTTTTTTTTAAAGAGGAGAACACAGTATAAATATACAGGGTTTCTGTGTTTAATGTGTGAAACATGTGAGGAAACAACATTAAAACAGAGATCAGAAAAGAACGTAATAAACTGTAGATATTGGGGAAGTCAACAATTGAAATACTGTGATACTGTATCGCCAAAAGTCTCAAAATAATATCGAGAGCTGTCACAATATATCCAATTACAAGTTTCTTTGCTTAAATGTATAGTTTTATAGTAGCAGCGGCTAATAAACATAGAGAACTACATATCCCATGATTTATTTCAGTGCAAACAACATGAAGAGATATGTTTTACTTGAATTCTTGGGATTATGACGGTAATAATTCAGACTAAAATCTCGTCAAGGTATTTTAAAAGCAAAAAAAGTGTCCCATCTACAATTATATCAGCCTCTCAGTAAATATCGTACTGTGAGAAGCGTATCGTGATAATATCGTGGATTTTGTTACATTCCTAGTAGATATAGACCCTTTTCATACTGTAGAACATTCTAGGTAAAGCATTAACATCTCCATGGAAACAAGAAGGCCCCTCTGCTAGAAAAGTTACACACTGCACCTTTAAACAAACTACAAAATCAAAACAATTACATTCACACAATCCGGTCTGACACAGGAGACACATTAGACGCTTATATAACATTGTGCAGCCTATTCTACTGTATATACACAACTGAACAATGACGCAGGATTGCTTCGTCCACTACTACTTCCTCGTCTTTCCGTGGCACAAATATTTACAATAATAGACGTCTTCTTCTTCTTCTTCTTCTTGTTTGTGGCTCAACAACCTATAACGATAAAAAAAAAAAAGAAATTATAAAAAGGCATTAGCTCTGATTTGACGTTTCATGTTTGCTCGGGCTGTGTGTAGCGTACAAAAGCTCGGACGCCGCGGTGAAAGGCCCGGTGAGAGAGAGAGCAGGTGTTGAAGTACATAATGGCCCCGCGTTTTCAATGGACTCCCCGATCTGTTTTCCGATTAAGGGAATGAACCTCCCCTTTGTCCCCGGCGACCGACAATACCAATCCCGGCGACCACTTGAACGCGCCGTCACCCCTCGGCACATACGGACGCGCACTTAAGGTAGTATCCGCCGCGGTAACTTCTCACTCGCGGGCGCTCGTTAGCCGGGACCAATTTGGACGCAATTACCCGACGGTGACTTAACCTCCGCGCGTCGAAGCGGGGAGACCATCTGTTGTGTTCGCCGGCGCATTCAGGCTCACAAAAGGTGGGCTGATGCAGGTAACGTGGCTGACAATGGACGTCTATTGCAATCCTCTAATTCAAACCTTGTTCCATTTGTGTTTTCTTGCAGCGAATACCAAAGTAGCCTAAACATCAATACTGGCTCTTCTTATTTATATAAAACTTGTCAATGTAATATTTTGCGAAAAACAGCCACATCAAAATATTATTAAAAAGCGGAGAAATACAGTATGTGTGATGGCTTCGTTTTGGGCTCAAGGTCGTTAGCAAAATAAATTGTTAATACAGTCTTTAAATGGTGTTTGTATAAAGAGAAGAACATATGGGAAGCAGTGTTTGCCTGAGAAGGGTCCAGAACATTTTGAGAAATAAATTGATCTTGAATTAGGTTTCAGATGATAAGGGCTTGTGAGGAGGTTTTAGTGAATAATAAGCTAAGAATACAGTAATAGTACAGTAATTATAATTTTCAATAAGCCAAATATGTGTAAATGAAACTCCTAAAGGTGCACTGTGTACATTTGAGATGTTGTTGCTTTGTCTTGAATGTTTCACAGCCTTTCTATCTATATGGAGACCAAAGTTACCGGACCAAGTTACAGGTCAGATCTGTGGAGAGGCGACCCTGTTCACAGTCAGAATGCCTGTTCTTTTTGAGCAATAGAAACACCTGTAATTGAGTCGGTGTTAGAGAGCTGTTTAATGTCATACTGTGGGACATTCCAGACAGAGCTGTGACATCCATTGAAACAATAAAGTGATGGACTTCCAACCAGAAAATTACATGGGTAATTAGACGCTTACAAGAGTCATTTTGAGTAAAATAGGAGCTTTAAAATGGTTAAATGATAAACATTTGGATGGAACGCATTACATTACTACTGCTGTTGTGTATTTGAACATCTTGATCCCTGTGCCCTGATTTTTCATCTGTGGTTGTAACCCAGATCCAAAGTACTTGGTTGTTTTACCAAATGAAGGTCAGTGGATCATGAGAGGAGCATGACTCAGCCTGGCTCTGCTCTCTGTCTGTCTGAAGGTGCTTTCATACAATGGGACGAACCAAAGCAAAGTCTGCATCTTGGATACACATGCCTACAGTATATGTACCTCTGGGTTGGAGTGCGACTGTGGGATCATCAAAATTCCCCATTTTGAGCTCAAAAATAAAAACGTATGTTTTTTGTCACATAAAGTGAAATTGCAAGACAGATTTTAAACTCTGTATGGCTGATTACATTTTTTTGCTGATATTATCACATTGTATGTCAGTGCTGCTCTGTTTAATGCAGCTATAAATACACTTTTCTGTTCCTCTTATGGAGAAAATAAATAAATAACTTGCAAATTTTTCAAATGTATGATGTGTTTTTGGACATTAGTTACCGTACTACATTGGTTAGCCTTTGTCGTGAATTCAAACAAATGTTCATAAAGTGTTTGTCTGAAAGAATGAAAGTGGGCAGGACATTTGATTGAGTAACATGTGGCTCTAACCAATCACAATAGAGTGTACATTGTACATATTATCAAAGTTATATCATGTCATTAGAATGACAGCTAAACATGATGAAATACTGTTGTACCTGATGGTTTGAATCCTGTGAGCTGAACCACCTGTAAACACACAGATATTAGTCATGTGATTATTAAGTGCTGTTTCAGAATCTGAATGCTCTAATAATTACATTGTAATAAACTACTGAGTGTACTCACTTGATTTCCTGATGATGGTCTTATAGAGAAACTGACAAAACTCTCATTTCTGAAACTTTCTGCAAAACAACAATGGCAAATATTTATCAGTTTTTCAGGGATACAAGGCCAAAAGCAACAATGCACTGGCTCAGACAAAACCCTCATAGATGCCTAAATCAAATACAAAATACTAGTGAGAGACAGACTTTTGACTTTTTTTTTCTACATTTTGTGAATCTTTGCATACCATTTTTGATGACCAGAGATGTGGATGCAGAGCTGGGGGGACCAGAGGCCTCACTGGTTTCTGGGCTGGAGGGAATGGGGGGATAGCGCCCCCATGAGGTCACAGGTGCACGCTGAGAGGGCAAGAAGCTGCTAGGCTGGGAACAGTTCTGTAACAAGCATTGGATAACATTTCTTTACATTTTCATTTCATTTAATAAACATAGCCTCCACAAAATTGTAGTTCCACAATTTGTAACTGGCAAAATCTAAAATGAAGGGCAATGAAATCAATTAATTTTGAAATAATAATTAATAATTCAATTAGATACGTTTATGGCGGTTTTCTGAGACACAAAGACACTGCAAAATACAAGAGTGCAATTTAAAAAAACTGAAATCTATGAACAAAAACTTTGAATTGAAAATCCACAAATCTTCAACTTTATAATTTTAATGGTCAAGTTTAATGTCTATTCAACGGACATGTTGCTGCTGGCTCATTGTTCAACAGTGAAACAATCATTTCACCTTTGTTAATTTAAAGCCATAGTATGTAGCTTTTTTTTTTGCCAAAAATTACTCAAATAAAAACTGCTGAGGGTTGTGTTTATTGCACTGAAAAAAATAGTGTGTCTTGGGTTTGTGGGCTTGCATCTCCACAGACCTGACTCTTTGACCTCCTCCTGCCTGTTTCCATGGAAATGTTGTTTCTTTGGCTATAATATTTCACAGTATGCCAAAAAACGTATCCATCCCTATCAAGAATGTTCCAGAGTATGGTTTTAACTTTCTATTTCCATAGAATCATGCAGGTGACTTTCCACTTACAGGAAGTTACATATTTTCACTTTTATTTTATGTGGATTTATTTTATGTTGTGATTATATTATATCTTCTGAATAAAAAAAAGTCCTCAAAAATGCAGCATATAACATGAAACCTTTCTATGCTTCAAAATTCTGAAACCAGCATTAAAATTGCAATATTTTGAAATCCTAGCAGTCTTAATATAATATGCATTTAAAGAAAGACCTGGATGTGTACTTCGGATCCATAAATATTAACAAAGTTGCTTTTAAGGAACACATATTATGCATTCTTGTCGGTTTAATTTCACATTAACTTGTCACTGGAGCTCCCTCTGCTGTCAGCAATGGGAATAAACAATCAGAAAGTAAACAAATAAAGTCCTTATCCCCCATGAATGCTATACTAATCGAGCCATGCTTTCTTTGGGACCACAATTTGATAGAGATAGATTCCGGTGATGGCCTATAGGTGTAAAAATCGCATAGGAGAAGTCTGGATTTTTACCTATGATGCAACAAAACTGGCAAAATGCAAGCTTTTTTTTTTTTGAGTGCAGAAGATATCTTTGAATTAATAGCTTCATGAAACAAGCAAGAATGAAGCCAAATACAACACCAGGTATGCGTCTGATGAGGGGACAACAACATAACGCGATTAAAAGCTCTTAAAAGTCAATTTAGCATAATATGTGTGCTTTAAAAAAATGCTCATAGACTCACGGTGAAAGATAAGGCCTTCCTCTTTTCTTTGATCCTCTTGATGGCATTCCTCACCTAGAGCAGAAAAAGCAGTGACTGTTGTGTCCCAAATAGCACATACACACACATACACACACACACACGAACACGCACACAACCCTGACAATGGACTGAATGCTTTCTTACCTCACTGTTGTATACGGCATAGACCAGGAAAATATACAGGCCCTATGGAGAGAGACAGAGCAGAGGTACATTAGGGAACGCATAGGAACACACACAACAAAAAGCATTCATTCGTGGCTTCCATTTAGTGCACCGGGCTTTTCCTTCTTCTGCTAAATATCTCTTTATGCTGTTATCTGTGTGGCTTTCTACTCCCTCTGGCTGGGCTACGGCTCGCTTCACACCGCCGCGGTTCACTATGGCTCACCTCAGCTCCAAATTGAAAAAGTTAACTGTGGAAATATGAAATAAACTTTTGAATGCTAAATGTTGCATGTGCTTAAAGGTCCTATATTACGCAAAACTGACTCTTGTGAGATTTTAGTCATGTTATAATGTTGTTACCTCCTCAAAACATAGCTTTGTGTTTTGTTTCATTCACACATGTTTGAGTAATACTTTATTATTACTTATCAACAACTCCAAAGCTCAAAGTGCAAAGTTCCACCTTGTGATGTCATGAAGCAGTAGTTTTCAAATGAACAACTACCGTATTTTCCGCAGTATATATAGGGTACACTCAAAAGTCTCCAACCCCATCAAAAAACGACTGCACGCCCAAAATCCAGAGCTTCCTATACATGAATCCACTCGGGTGTCCCAACACGACTTCAGTAAACTACAAAGCCACACGACCTGCAGCACACTCAACCACGCACGGAGCAGACAGCGACCACGCAGCGAAGAACACCCGCAGCCACCCGCAGCCACACTCATCACGCCACGCGGACGAGGAATGGATCGAAAAAGCGAGTGCAGTGTGCCACTTCTAGACACAACTGAACAACTGAGTCACTGCGAACACGCCAACAATCCAGCGGTCCCAGACAGCACCCTCCCTACACGCCACAACTGAACAAAGCCCAGAGTCACCGTGAACGCGCCAAACAAAGTCTGACTGACCCATCGAACTGTTGTGTTTCGTTTAAAGTCCGGTGTGGTTTATTTGTGAAAAAAGTTATGACAGTGCATCTTATAATCCAGAGCGCCCAATAGTGCGGAAAATACGGTACTAGGAATGTAACAATAACCAAAATATTGTAATAGTGTATCGTCAGAAATCTCACAATAATGTCGGAGGCCATCACAATATATCAGGGTATCCCTGGGTTTGACTACCCCTGATTTAAGACTTTTTTTAAGACCTTTTTAAGACCACTTAAATGAAAATAAAGACCAACGTCGCACCCATTATGCGGGCAAAAAACACCGGGTCTTATTCTAATAATGACCAACCAACTATGGTACTATAAATAGAATCCAAGGCTACGTTTATATGATGACGGTCCTAACAGAAGATACAAAAGTGGAGTAGCGTCTTCACTTTTTATTCTGCGTTTAGACAAGCATTTTTGGGAGGAAATCTGTGTGCATATGGTGACGCAAAAGTGTGTGGAATTGGATTGGGTATGCATGCCAGGCGATGGTGATGTATGTGACGTAAACGCGTATGTGACGTGAGCAGATCTGACCAGAGTTTTGCGTCTTGGGGAGTGTAGATGGAACTGATTGTTTACTCATTGCTGCCGGTGCTAAAAACAAAGTATTGTTTGCGCATACTCCAAATTAGATGTTCATTCACGTTACGTTATTTCACGTTGTTGTTTTTTTTCCCCTCCCTCTATTTAACATTGCACTGCAGCCTGGTTGAGTAAACAGAAAAACAGGCTAATGAAATTTAAGAGCTTTGTGAAAAAAATAAGACTTGGACAACATAATTTAAGACTTTGTAATGCCTTAATTTAGGAACATGACATTTAGGCCTTTGTAAGACTTTTAAGACCTCGCAGCTACCCTGTATTTCGAAATACAAGTCTCTTTGCTTAAAATAATAGTTATCCAAATAAACTTGCCTTGCCATGGCAAAAAAATAAAAAAAGGAAACTACATAGACCATGATCCTTTGGTGATGTCAGTGCAGACTACGTGAAGAAAAAGCTTTTATTAAGTACTGTTAAATTTTAATTCTTCATATTATTACAGTACCAAAGGCTTTTAAAGGCTTTTAAAAAAGAAAAAAGTAGCATATTGACAGTTTTATAAGCCTCCACAAAATATCGCATTAAGTATCAAAACGGGGGATGCATATCATGAAAATATTGTATCGAGGGATTTTGATATTGTTACATCCCAAACAGCTACCCTTTACCTTTTGTTCAATAGAGATCAGCAATTCTAGGGCTGTAATTGTCCAAGTGATTCTAGTGAATTTGTATGGAGTTTAAAAATACAGTGGAGCACTTCCTGTATTATTACATGACATCACAAGGTACAGAGTGTTTTCTGTTTGAGAGGAGAGCTCGGCTTGAATTTACAGGTTTGTGTGTTAAACGTGTGAATGAAACAAAACACAACTCCAGGTTTTTGAAGAGAAAACAACATAGATGTGAAAATAGCATAATATGGACCCTTTAATAAGTTCAAAGATGCGACAAATTAAATGATTCAGGATCAGCTCAGAGGGTGAAAACAATAACACTAACTTCCATTTAAATGACACTGCTTTACTTCACACATGCCTACAGATTTGTCTCTTGTTTGGCACTGCAGACAGTAGAAAGCAGACAGTCCCGTTCACAGCCTCCTACCTCCAGCGGAAGAACTCCTCCAGCAGCCTTATCTGCCCTCAGCTGGACACTGGCTGTAAATCTAAATTAACTAGCAGCTCTGGGGTCACGCAGGGGCCAGCTCATTCTGATTAATTAAAGACCAAGGGGAGTGCTGAGAGGGCCACAACCACAGACGAGAACACAGTGAGGAGCTCAAGTTTCACGTTTTATGAGCAAATCATGTTCAAATGCAGTAAAAGTGTGTCAGAAGCGACCAGGTGTACTACTTTCACACAGGAGTAGTAATAGTTTTTAGATTTTACGGCACACTTAAGTAGCCAAGATGTGTAATTATTACTGCTACTGTTACTTCAAAATAGTGTAATAATACTACTCAATTTCAATACTAGATACACTTGATACACAATACTGATTCTGACACCACAGGGAAAGAAGTCCAAGATAGCCTAAATACTTCTGTTGTGTGTTTGGTAACAAAACATTTTAAGAGTAAAGTTACTTCAAATGCATACTCAAATGAAAATAAAGGTATGCCGTGTAAATAAATGAGTACTGAATTCAAAATCTTATTTAAATCACAAGCGACAAACCGGATTTTAAACTTTTCTTTATCTATGATCAAAACTGTCTTTAAAGTGACAGTTCAGAATTTTGGACATAGGGCCTTATTTCCTAGTGAGCCAGAGTGTTGGAGACGTGTGGAGAGACTTTTTAAAATATTCCATCCAGTCCTTGTATTTGCAGAGGTCGCTGGTGCTAGGCTAGTGCATGTCAGTGGCCATAATTAGCCTGCCACTAAAATCAGTCTTACCCACTCCACAAAACACCCGAAACAAATCTATTATTACACCAGACTGTCGATGTGAATGTCTGTGTTGATAGAATAATGTTTGAAATAAAACTAAACTAAACTTGCATCACCTGAATTGTTGCATGTTGAGGGACTATTTTCTCATATATCAGTCCGCCGCTGCCAACCTTTCTATCAGGAAGTACAACTCGCTGCTGTTGCTCAGACATAAATCCTTCAAATGCAAGGGTGATTTTACTTCTAAAATTATTCTATCAACGCAGACATTCACATTGACAGTCTGGGGTAATAACAGATTTGCTTCGGGTGTTTTGTGGAGTGGGTAAGACTGTTTTTAGCGGCAGGCTAACTATGGCCATTGATATGCACTAGCCTCGCCAAAGAAACAGAAAATGCACACCAAAATTCTTGTAGAGGTGCAAATGCAAGGAGCAGCAAGACAAAAGTGAAAAAATGCATAGCACATTAAGATGGCCGATGTCCAAAAGCTTTTTTTACTTTTAAAATAACGTTTTGGCAAAAAAATAAAGCCTTCATCAGATATTTTACTTCTGTGCTGTGGTCCTAATCAAGAAAAATATATGATGAATGTTTTTTTTGCCGAAACGTTATTTTAAAAATAATTAGTCAATCAAATCAAATATCGGCCATCTGAGTGTGCAATGCATTTTTCACTTGTGTACTAGCCTAGCACCAGCGACCTCTGCAAATACAAGGACTGGATGGAATATTTTTAAAAGTGTCTCCAACACTTTAGCTCACTAGAAAATGAGGCCCTACGTCCAAAATTCCGAACTGTCCCTTGAATGTAGTTCTTTAATATTATGTGACATTAAACAAAAACCTGGAAAGCATTGAGAGCGATGAAGACGTAAGCCACCACCACAGACAGGTGCACCAGGACCCCACAGAGCCAGGTGAGGCCTAGGACAGGGAGCAGGATGAGCACGGGGCGGGTCACTGCCCTGGGAATACACACAAACATGCAACATTTATGTATTGCCATAAGTAAAACAGATAAAGTTAACGCAAAACATGCACAATAGGTAGTCCTCCAGCTAAGGTAATAATAACGACGAAGCCTAGCCAAAGATCTAGAGATGGGTCCTCTGGTGATGATGATGAATTTCGCTCACAATGGATATACCTTAACCTCAGTGGACTGTCATCTAAAAATCTTAAAAGGTTTTGAATACTAAGATATGGTCAGTAGTCTTTTATATGGCTGATTATAAAAAAATAAAATAAAATTAAAAAATCTGATCTTTTCAAACCTTTCATGATCCAAGATAATATTTTATGTCAACATCATGTTTTGACATTTTCAATTGATCTGTTCTTTCATAATATAGTTGCTTTACATATGAATCGCTGAATAGCTTTGACCTGCACCTACAATGACCTCTGCTCCAAACACTTGAAAACGTTCTTCTTCTTATTATTTTTTTTTAAGATGAAGGACTGAAGGAATACGGACTTTTCAAGGTATTCCGATAATGCTCCTGTCTCTAACCCCCAGCGCACTCTCAGGTATAGATTTGATGGCGAACAACTGTGCCATTTCTTTTATTTTGGCGCTCACATTTGGAGAGATCCCGGTGCTTAGATGTCCAATGAGCTTTTCGTGGGTCAAGGCAGCCGAGGTTGTTTTTGTTCACGGGACCATTGTCGTGTAGCACCTGGGCAGAGTGATGAGTTTTAAGACTGTAGTGTATCGGCAAGGACAAAAGCTGCCTCTCAATTCACTTTCTTGCCTCTGTATTTCAGTTCAGAGTTGGTTTTCTGTTTGTCTGATCTTCTCAAATTGTCACAGAGTTTTTGAATGTCATTCTATGGTAAAGAAAAGATGAGGAAAGCACAAAATGTAGAGTGGGAGCTGATAAGAGGGTCAGATATGGTGGAGTAATATCGATTCATAGTAGAGCTGACAAAAGTATAGAAAATCTGATACAAATAGATGCTAAAACTAGTATCCCAACTAGATTTGAGCAGGTATCGATACTAAAAAGTCATTCAGAGCTGGACAGAAGTTAACTTTTCCTCTATAGCTTTATACTGATCTTGAGTTGTATCAGAACAAGTATAAGAGCACAGTAAGTAGTTACTTGTAAATCCTGCATATTTACAAGTACATGTTTTTTTTATTTCCATTATCTTGTCTTTTTATATGCATTGTCCTTTTAATAAATACAAATATAAATACATAGACTACTATACACCCATGGACCAAAATGAAGCCTACCTGGATGACTGAGGGATTGCATAGAAATAAAACATGGCAATATAAAAGAAGAGTTAGATTTAGATTACTCTAATGGACTTCTCATTGTGAGACAGCTACAGTACATTCAGAACTCTCCTGACTTGAACCGAGCACATGCATCCTGGTCTCAGAGAATAGACTTTAAAGCAGCTCTGTTTGTGTACAAGTCTCTCCATGACCTAGCATCAAAATACATCTGTGACAGGAGGTCAGGGACCAGCCTCCTGCTGGTGCCCAGAGTCGGGGCTAAACATGTGCAGTCAGTGTTTCAGTTTTATGCAGCTAAAACCTGGAACAGTCTTCCTTAACATGTGAGACAGGCCTCTACTTTGACTGTTCTTTAAATGTTTAAATTCAGGCTCATAACAGTTCTGTTTAGCTGTGCATACGACTGAAAGGGGTTTATACTGCACTTTTCACTCTTCTCTTTTAATGTTAATTTTACGATGATTATTTATGTTTTGATTTGTTTGTTTTGTAAGTTTAATGTATTTCGTATTCTGTAAAGTACTTTGATAAACTTTGAATTGGAGCCAGGCTGGCGCCACCTAGTGCCTCTGCTCAATTTCATTTCTCTCGAGAGACTAGGTCTGGAATCAAAATACAAAAACAAGCAAAAACACCGGAAGTTTGAGTTTGGGCACCAGCCAACCAGGGAAGAGAGGATTTAAAGCTGGAACAAAGAGAATGTTTGGTGAATTTTATCAAGGGAAAAGACGTTTTTGCCCTTCTTCCTACTGGATTTGGGAAAACCTTAATATACCAGTTAGCTCCGTTAGCGGCGCATTGCATACATCATGACCAAATAGCAGTGATTGGTTAAATGAAAAAAAAAAAAAAACACCTACCATCATGTGAACAAATCCTAATGCTGCAAGGTCAGATGGTTTCTACAAAGTGAAACCGGCTGATGAATCAGGCTATACGAATTGTACTACCCAAATAAACTTGCCTTGCCTTGATTTTGCTGTGTAAAGGTCATTTTAATCATCTTTAAGCTCCTAAAACTACTATAGTATATACTATACTGAGGGGAAAAATATTCATCTAAAAGAATAAGTTAAATGTTTTATAGAAAAGAAAAAAGTAAAAGTAGAAGTTCTATAAGTGAATTAGTCGATAAAAAGTTGAGAAGAAAAGACCAAAAACACAGTTTTTGGTCCAAAATGGAATACCTCTCCCTCTTTCATCAAAACCAAAAATTCCATCTAAAATGCAGGGACCACTTGTGCACAAGGAACATTTTTGAAGAGTTTAAACATTCACATCACAAAATAAAGGTGTTATCACACATTTTTATTAGTCTAATCGTAACTATTGTACAATTTATACACATTTTGGTCCAACTTAACATGGTTGGTAGGTAAGTTATGGAGTTAAATCTATGTAATATCCGCTGCCTGTGTCCATCCAGAAAGTCCAATTTAAATAAAATTATAAACCTCACAAAACACACACATTTACAGTAAGGATGTATGTTTTTTAAGGTACTTTTTGACCAATAAAAGACCTGTTTTTGATGAGTTGAATGCCCTACTGTACAGAACAATACTATCTCCATAGAGATATTACTGTAGACCACTCACCAGAAAATTCGCTTAGTGCACCTCTAAACCCAGATTATTGGATCTGTAAATGTTGAATGTTTCTTATCTATGTTATAATGTTGTTCCTCATCAAAAACATATTTGTGCTGCGTTTTTTTCATTCACACCTTGTGGTGTCAGGTGGTAATACCAGAAGCGCTCCCGTGTTTTTAAACTCCATACATCTTCACTAGAAATAGGCCTGGAATTCACAAAGTCTCCTGAACAAAAGGTAAAAGATGGAACAGAGCATTTTGAACTTTGGAGATGTAGACAGGCTAATAATACAGGGTTACTCAAACATGTGAATGAAACAAAGCGCAACTCCAAATATGTTTTTGATGAGGTAACAACATAATAACGTGACTTAAAGCTCACAAGAATCAATTTTGCATAATACAGGACCTAACAATAACTAACTAACTAACTATCTAATAATACTCCGCATAGTTCGTAGAGACATCAAGGGTTATAGTAAACTTCAGAATACTGCACTGACATCCGTAACCATGGCAACTTAAATTTAGCTCAGAATGAGAGGAAGAATTGTGTTTCAACCTTGCATGTGATTATGTGTACGTATGCAGGGAGGTTATCTTCTTTAGTACTGAGTAACAGAATGGAACATATTTAACTTGATTAGAAACCTCATTTTTACTTAGATAACAGACATAAGAGACATGTGTTGGAGGTTTGTTAGGGTGTCACAGTAGATTTCGAATGGTCTTGATGTATTTTGAAACTAGAATCCCACATGCTAATAATAAAAAAACACAACTCCAGGTATGTTTGTGATGAAGTAACAACATTATAACATGACCTAAAGCTCACAAGAGTCAATATCGCAAAATGTAGGACCTTTAAAATACGTCCTAGGATAATTTTTCGCAGAGTTACAATCGAAATCTCAAAAGTATCGGAAAATCAGGTACAAATCAAGACTAAAACTAATATTGAAACTAGATACTTACTAGATACTCAACTAGATACTCCTTTGTGAACAGTTTTAGTGTAAACAAATCTAAGACCTCATGCTAAGATAAAGAAGCACGATTATTTTGTCTCTGAAAATTACATTCTATTACTTAAAAATGGAGCATTTTTATTTTCATTGTTATATTTTTAGCTATATCGAGTGTCTGGTGAATTCCTTAATATCGAAATCGAGTTTGAACAAAGCATTTCGCCCTAATCATAACAGAAAAAGGACAAGTCAATACTCAAATCTAATACTCCTACTACTCTAATACTTTAGTCAGTTACAGCCCACAACTACAAGTACAAACAATACTAATTCATTTTATTTAAACAGTTTTGTCCTCCTATAATGTGAGAAATTGTTTTAAGGAACCAGTGTAATATCATGCTGAAACAATGGTTAAAAAAAATACTAAAATTCAAACTAAATAAAAGTGCAAAATGAAAAATAGTAAATCATTTGATGAAAATTACATTCAGAGCATCAAATTTCATATCACACATTAAAAGATAAAGATGTCTATTTGTCTGATGTTCTACGTTATAATGTTGTTTCCTCATCACAAACAGACCTGGAGTTGTGTTTTGTTTCATTCACATGTTTAACACACAAACCCTGCGTATTCAGGCTGGGTTCTTCTACTTTGTGATGTCATGGGGTGATACAGGAAATGTGTTTTTTAACTCCATGCATCTTCACAATAATCATTTGGATGATTTCAGCCGTGGAAATGTCGATCTCTACTGAACTAAAGATAAAAGGTAGCTGTTAACTTGAAAATTCCACAAAGTAACATCACAAGGTGGAAGAGAGCATTTTGAGCTTTGGAGATGTAGACAGATATATAATAAAGGGTCACTAAAACATGTGTGAATGTAACAAAACACAACTCCAAGTTCTAACATGGCTTAAAGCTTACAAAAGTTGATTTCGCATAATACAGAGCCTTTAAGTCTTTTCCATAGTGTAAAAATCAAGTTTGAAATTGTAGTATTGTAACATTTGTCTTCAACTCAAGGTCATATTTTACACATTTAAAAATCTACGTGTATAGACTTTTGTTTAGATTTGTATTACGTCTAGAATAACTTAGGCAGACCTATTATACAAATCGCCTTTTCAGAGTTTTTTTTTAACTATGGTAAAATTGTTTCCTCTCACCATTTACCCAAACAAAGTTGTATTTGGAGGGATTCAGTTTGGGAATCTTTATTCATTCAAGACCTTCAGTAATTTGTTGACACTAGTTCAGGCATCTAAAACTGGCAATACCTGTTTTAAATTTTACTGGAGAATTAATATTGTTCACTACAAAATTATTTTCATATTACAAGTACACAGTATGGTATGTAAAAAGTAAAAAAAAACCTGCTACGAACACTAGGGATGTAACGATATCCAAATCTCTCGGTACAATATTATCACGATATGCATCTCACGGCACGATATTTATTGCGAAATTTTGAAGAGGCTAATGTAATTGTAGATTATATCATTATACTGTAGAATGCTTTTTTGCTTTTAGAATACCCTGACAAGATTTTGATGTGAATTTTTAAAATCATAATCGCAAGAATTCAAATAAAAAACATATTACTTCATGTTGTCTGCACTGAAATGAATCATGGGATATGTAGTTGCCGATGTTTATTAGCTATTGGTACTATAAAAGAATGCATTTAAGCAAAGGATTTTGTAATTCGATATATTGTGACAGCTCATGGTATTATTGAGAGACTTCTGACGATACGATATGACGACATTTCGGTTACTGTTTCATCCAAATATTAAAGTTACTGAAGTAAATGTTGCGTTTTCAAGACGTCATATCGCAGATCAACTCTCGTTTTCACCTCTACCAGAATATGTCCACTGCTCTGTTGTTTCGTGTTTCATTTATTAAGTCATTTTTGATGAATATTGCCTGTGGATAACGTGGATCAATACCATAATAATCCACGGGTGTCAGATTTTATCTATATAGCAGCCACAAGCACAATAAGAAAGAACTGCACAGGTAAATGTATCAATTATGCAAGATTTCCAAAAACTAAATAACTCCAGGTATGTTTTTGATGAAGGAACAAAATCATAACAGTAAATAGCCTATATTAAATCACAAGTACACAAGTCCAAATTATGAGTATCACCAAACGTGCTACTGGTCTTCTTACTTCTTGTATGTACTTAAAACCAGGTATAATACAATAATGGTCTTTCACTTCACAGAGTGAGAGGTAAAAGTGAAATTAATTTGGCCAGAAATAATGAAAACAAAAACAGCTGTGTCCGTAGCAGGTGTGTAGCCGATAAGCCTGAGTACTCCCACAGCAAACTCCCAAATTAAACTCCTCCCCCCTCACATACTGCTGCTATTCAGCTCTTTTATTAAAGGTCCTACATTGTCCTACATTGTGTGAAATTGACTCTTGTGAGCTTTAAACCACGTTGGATGCTGTTACGTCATCAAAAATATACCTGGAGTTGTGTTTTGTTTCATTCACACATCTTTGAGTAACTGTTTATTATTAGTCTGTCTACATCTCCAAAGCTCAAAATGCTCTGTTCCACCTTGTGATGTCATGAAGCAGTAGTTTACTGATTAACAGTTTCCTGTATCACCAGATGACGTCACAAGGTGGAACAGAGTGTTTCCTGTCTGAGAAAAGAACTCAGCCTTAATATGCAAGATTTGTGAGTTATCCATGTGTGTATGAAACAAAATACAACTCCAGGTCTGTTTTAATGAGGAAGCGACATTATAACATAGATCTATAGTAGATTAATTCCATGCTGATTGTGTTGTGATAGCGCTCTGAAGGGGAGTGCTGGGAGCAAAAGGAGCATGGACTCAAAAACGCATGAAAAATGAAACTGAAACTAACAAAACATTTTAATACCATATTTTTCGGACTATAAGGTGCACCAGAGTATAAGGCGCAATATCAGTAATGTTGAATTCTCTCGTCTATTTTCACACCTACGGCGCACTGGATTATAAGGCACATTAAGCAAAACAAACGGACGACACTTGAGACTGATCCCTTAGCCCACGCGTCCACAATCCATTGGCATTGGCAGTGGCGAAGCTCACCTGGCGTTGCCTCCCTGTTTTGGTGAATGTGTATTATGAATGTGAATGTGGGTGGATAACTTAAGTAAAGTAGAGTAATAATGTGTTTAATGCAGTTTGCGCACATTTGTTTATGTTTTACAGAAATGAAACTTAAAACCACATGACTAATTTGCATAAACAATCAAACTGTGAGGCTCCTGACTACAGTAGCCGTAACGCACCGACATGCCATCAAGCTGTGTGGCTTCATAGTTTACCAAAGTCGTATTAAAACATTTTGACAGATTTTTGAGCGCGGTGTACCACATAAAATCGTTACGAGGTCAGTAAGCACAACCAGAATTAATACATAAGTGGCACCGGATTATAAGGCACACTGTTGATTTTTGAGAAAATTAAAGGATTTCAAGTGCACCTTATAGTCCGAAAAATAGGGTACACTATTTTCGGTGAATATAGCATTTTAGAATAACAATAAAAGGTAATATGTTCTCTCTAAATGTTACACATTTTCAGTTAATACCCCATAGAACTGTAATATTGCCTCTTTAATGGAAACTAAATAATAGTGCACTACTCTCACCACGTAAGGTCAAAGGTCTGCATCTTGGTCGCTGAACTCGGGCTCAACATCTTGGTCCGTCGGCGAGCGCTGGAGACCGTCACCATGACGACGCGACAGAGGACCACGGAGTTGACCTGGAGGCAAAAGACAAGGGTTTGAACAGGAGCAGAGAGTGCATTCACTATTGTACAACCTCTTAGAGTCTGGCAGCACTAAAATTCAACCACGTCTCTCCGGGCTCCTAAACCATCATGTATGTGAGTGAAGGACAGCCATTCAGAGTATAATAACAACAGAATACAATAGTGACTCAAACGCTTGTAGTGAGGGCCCATTTCATATGCAGAATAACAACCGAATAACAACCAACTTGAAAAAGCAGATTAAAGTGGCAATGATAGGTTAGACTACCCATTTTACTAAAACACAGTTAAGATCTTTAAATTAAAGATTTTGCAAAGAGATGTAGAATTTCTTTCCCAGTCTGGCCATTTTTAGGCTATTTTTTAGGTAATTTTTTAGGTCAGAGATCTTCAACAGGTGGGTTGCAGAGGTATTGCGGGGGGTGCGCTCCATCACATCTGTCTCTCTCTCGTCATCAAACCGCAAACACGTCAATGCTGTCGTTTCTTGTTTGGGTACATGTGAACAAGTTTGCACCGTTACAGCTTTACTTTTACGCACAGCAAAACTTAAGCTCTGCACGTACTACTACTCATTGGGAAGGGGTCAGGCATCTTCATTCCCAGAGTCGTGTCTTTCCTTTCACTCCTCAGATGGGAATGAGTGGAAAAGTTGCATGGCCCAAATCAAACTCTGAGGGTGCGCGTTGTGGATCATGACACCAAGTTAGGGAATTCCATAACTGTTACCCACATACACTACTGTTCAAAAGTTTGGGGTCACTTAGAAATGTCCTTATTTATTGAAAGAAAAGCACTGTTTTTTTCAATGAAGATAACTTTAAACTAATCAGAAATACACTCTATACATTGCTAATGTGGTAAATGACTATTCTAGCTGCAAATGTTTGATTTTTGGTGCAATATCTAGGTGTATAGAGGCCCATTTCCAGCAACTATCACTCCATTGTTCTTTCTAATGATACAGTGTCTTTCCTCATTGTGTCAGAAGGCTAATGGATGATTAGAAAACCCTTGTGCAGTCATGTTAGGACATCTTAAAACAGTTTAGCTGGTTAGAAAAGCTATAAAACTGACCTTCCTTTGAGCAGGTTGAGTATCTGGAGCATCACATTTGTGGGGTCAATTAAATGCTCAATATGGCCAGAAAAAGAGAACTTTCATGTGAAACATGACAGTGTATTCTTGTTCTTAAAAATGAAGGCTATTTCATGCGAGAAACTGCCAAAAAACTGAAGATTTCCTACAATGGTTTGTACTACTCCCTTCACAGAACAGCAAACAGGCTCTAACCAGAGTAAAAAGAGAAGTGGGAGGCCCCGCTGCACAACTGAGCAAGAAGATAAGTACATTAGAGTCTGTAGTTTGAGAAATAGACGCTTCACAGGTCCTCAACTGGCAGCTTCATTAAATAGTACCTGTAAAATGCCAGTGTCAACATTGACAGTGAAGAGGTGACTCCAGGATGCTGGCCTTCAGGGCAAAGTGGGAAAGATAAAGCCATATCTGAGACTGGCCAATAAAAGAAAAGATTAATATGGGCAAAAGAACAGACATTGGACAGAGGGAGATTGGAACAAAGTGTTATGGACGGATGAATTGAAGTTTGAGGTGTTTGGGTCACACAGAAGAACATTTGTGAGACGCAGAACAACTGAAAAGATGCTGAAAGAGTGTCAGACTCCATCTGTCAAGAATGGTGGGGGTAACGTGATGGTCTGGGGTTGCTTTGGTGCTGGTAAGGTGGGAGATTTGATCAGGGTAATAGGGATTTTGAATAAGGAAGGCTATCACTCCATTTTGCAATGCCATGCCAAACCCTGTGGACAGTGCTTGATTGGAGCCAATTTCATCTTACAAAAGGACAATGACCAAAACACACCTCCAAATTGTGCAAGAACTATTTAGTCGCAGTCACCAGATCTAAACCCCATTGAGCTGTTGTGGGAGCAGCTTGACCATATGGTACGCAAGAAGTGCCCATCCAGGTAATCCAAATTGTGGGAGGTGCTTCTAGAAGCGTGGGGTGAAATTTCTCCAGATTACCTCAACAAATTAACAGCTAGAATGCCAAAGGTCTGCAATGCTGTAATTGCTGCAAATGGAGAATTCTTTGACAAAAGCAAAGTTTGAAGGAAAAAAATATTATTTCAAATATAAATCATTATTTCTAACTTTGTCAATGTCTTGACTATATGTTCTATTAATTTTACAACTCCTGGTGGTAAATAAGTGTGACTTTTCATGGAAAACACAAAATTGTGTGGGTGACCCCAAACTTTTGAACGGTAGTGTATGCACAATACAAAAAAATAAATATTGCATTCTAATCATAGACTGTATAAAGGAGAAGACTGAGGAAGTGTGATGTCATCCATAGCGGTCTTCCCCAGTCAAAGGAAGCTCATGAGGCTAGCAGTTATAGGGGCGAATTTGAAGCCATGTCCATATTAGGAATAGGAATTTATTCATGGAGAAGACAGAAGAATCAAAACACCAGGATCATGTAGAGCGGGTTAATACGAACATTTTGAGACCAAAATGACAAAGCTCACTGCAGCAGTTAGAGCAGGGGTCAACCTTTTTTTCTCCAGTGAACTACCTTTACAAAACAAAAATGTCAAAGAGCTACTGATTTCACCAGTTGCAAAGAAACTGAGTAAATGTAAGAGCATGGCAAGCCTTAGATGTGGAACACTTAGATGCATATAAAATATAAACCATTATCCATTTATCAGTGCACCAAGTTAGGCATCGAAATTATACATTTACAATGGTAATTAATCAAATTTGACTTATTATCCACAATAGAAATCCTTTGGTTAGCTACTTAGAAGGGGGTGCTACAGGTTGGAGACCCCTGAGGTTGAGAGTAAAGTCAATTGGAAACAGAGTCAAAGAAGCCGATAGCGCCACCATGAGCACTTCGCATTTACAGTCTATGGTTATCCAGTCTGCCTACATCTCCAAAGCTCAAATGCTCTTTTCCACTTTGTGATTGGAAACTGCAGAGCTGAATTTAGCTGAATGATTCTAGTGATGGTGTATGGAGCTTAGACTTCCTGTATTGTCACATGACATCAGGAGCTGGAGTGTTTCTGAAGAACACAGCCTAAATATGCAGGATTTCTGAGTTAAACATGTGTGAATGAACCAAAACACAACTCCAAGTAAGTTTGTGATGAGGAAACAACATTATAACATAGATCAGAAAATAATGCAATAATGGCCCTCTAAGTACACAGCCTATTTTTAGTATCAAAATCAAGTTTGAAATGTTTGTATCATGATAACACTATAATGTAAAACTGTGTTTGTTTCTACAACTGGAGCAAAGGCATTCTACTTGTTTTTCCAGAACTTAAAACAGTGATAGGCCAATCAAATCTATATATAGTGGCCTACAACATGCCTATCTATTGACTTTAAGAGATGCAGAATTAGGACCATATGAATAAACAATGAAAGACTCTACTCTATCTTGTTTTGAAAAATAAAATGTTCCCAAATCTGTGTTCATAACAGATAAGAGTCATGTGATTGAAACTCAAACCCATTATAGTTTCTATGCATATACTATTTTGGATCTACACTATAATAGCTGTTTCCTCATCACAGGTCATCTTTTAACTTTAATATTGTACTTTATGTTTTGTGTATTTTTACTATTGTGCTATCTAATGTATACACTGGTCACCTTTGGTTGTTTTAAATGTGCTTTGTAAATACATTTGACATTGACACTGACACAAAACTCTCCATATTTAGGCTGAGGTCTTTTCTCAAACAGAAAACACTCCATCACCAACTTGTGATGTCATGTGGTATATACAGAAAGTGCTCCGTTGTTTTTTAAACTCCATACACTCCCACTAGAATCATTTGGATAATTTCAGCCCTGGAATTTCCAATCTCTACTGAACTAAAGAGACGGAGAGAGACAATTAATTAAGAATTACTCAAGCGTGTATGAAAGAAACAAAAAACAACTCTATGTCTGTATGTTTTTGATGAGGTAACATTATAACATGACTAAAAGCTCACAAGAATCCATTTAGTGTAATATAGGACCTTAAATAAACATTACAACACTTATCTGCTTTATCTTTTGAATGGTACATCATTCTCAAAATGGCCCTAACAGATGAGTATTAACTAATTGAAAACCTAGAATACAGTGGAAAAAAATAAATGTTGTTATCTCATATTACTCTGTGTCTCTACAAATGGTATCTCAAGGAGTTTCTAGAATTTTCTTTCATTGTAGTTTTGACACTTCTGCCTATCAGGGTCTAATAAGAATGGAACAATATGCAAATCTCATGGTACGATATTGTTAAGATATTAATTTCAAGATATGATTATTGCGATATTTTAGAGATGCTAACCAGATTGTGTAACGTTTTGGTTGTGGGTCCATCACCTGCTTGTTTCTATGGATATGTCTCTGCTCTGCCTGGAATGTTCCACAGTATGACATGAAACAGCTCTACTTTACATTTATTCAATTACAGGTGGTTATAGCTCAAAAATACCTAGAAAAACAGGCATTCTGACTGTGAGCGGGGTCGTCTCTTCACAGATCTGACCTGTAACTTGGTCTGGTTTGATCTCCATGAAGATAGAAAGGTTTAATGCCATACTGTGAAACATTCCAGACAAAGTAATAACATCTCCATGAAAAAATAAAAGTATTTGACGAATCCGTGTATCATTTGTTCATTAATTTTTCAATATAAAACCAAAAATAAGAAAATGAAAAAACAACTATTTTCTTCATTATTTGTCTCCAAAACCAAAATCCAAAAAATGGATAACGATTCGTTTTTTCAGTTTTTGATTCTGTGTTTAAATGAGTAATGGAAAAAACTGATAACAACTGTTTCCAGTTTCCATGACTTAAACTGAGATGCAGGACTTTTGAGCCGCATACAAACTGAACCAGGACTTAACCACGACTAAACCAAGTCTGGGACCAGACCAGAACCAAACCAGGACTAAGACCAAGACTTAGAGAGAGACCAGGACCAGAGCAGGACTATCTGGACCATCTTATCGTTTTTTTCCATTATTCATTTAAACACAAAATCGAAAACTGAAAAGACGAATCGTTATCTGTTTTTTCATTTCGGTTTTGGGGACAAATAATGAAGAAAATTGTTGTTTTTTTCTTCTTTTCTGATTTTTGGTTTTATATTGAAAACCGAATGAACGAATGATACATGGATTCTGATGGATCCTCCACCAGAAAACTTACACAATGCACCTTTAAAGAAATGCTACTTTTTCCTTTTAACCCCCTTGATGAGCTTTTGATACTATATTACTATAATATTCCACTGTCTGCATTAAAAAGGACCAAAGGATCATGGTCTATGTAGTTTAACTGTTTCTGCATTTTAACAATGAATTGAAGCAAAGAAACTTCTAATTTGATATATTGTGACATATTGAGACTTTTGACAATACAGTATCACAATATTTTGGTTATTGCTAGAGCTTTACCACCAACGTTTATACATTTCAATGCAGAAACCATTACTGAATTATCTCGTGATTTTCGGCTTGACCGTAGATTACATCTCAAATCACACAATTGTATGAAAACTAAAATTCCGATTTGCAGACTTTTGTTTAGGTGGATGAATGCAGCTATTTTTTCAGATAACCATTCAATTAACTGGACAGACTTCAGACAAAATACAGTATAACAAGAAATTAAAAATGAAGGGTCTGTCCATTTGTGAGTCTGCTCTTTCACTGGCGTTATTTTTCAGCCTGGCTTGATTAGATGTGGCTTGAATACCTGCACAAATTAGACATTGCAGTTCCTCTATTGAAAAACGTTGTCGGGGTGAAGCTCTCAGTCACCGCTGTGCCAAAACCAACGGAATAATAACCAAATTATCAGTTCAATTTAGTCTTCATATCCGTCCTTGAGAATTTTAGACGTTTTAAAAGCTAAATAACAATAACAAGCTAATACAATTCCACGTGAACAATTCCAAAGGTTACTGACGCACACACGTACCGCTAGGACAAAAACTACGGGTCCCACAAAGGCCCAAATGGTGTCGTTCTTCACATTGAGCCAGCAGTGTTCCTCTGCTTTGTACTCATCCACTGATACAGCCAGTGTGACGCCCACGATCAGAACAGGAAGGCCTGGAGAGGGAGAAAAAACGTCAGTAAAAGTAATTCTGAAACTGGGGTGTTTGACAAGTAGAGCTGGGTGATATAACAAAAAAAAAGCATTAACCCAAGATTTTTTTTTTCTTTTCAAAAAGAAGTCAACCTCTTGATTAAAAAGACCCAAGCTGACAATCAGACATGACTGAATCTCAGCTGATAAAAATGTATTAAAATGTCATTGTTTGCCTAGTCCTATAGGCTCTATTCACGTTTGCTTCACCAACCAGGAAGACGTTTGGAAACATTTGATGACAACTTCCGGCGGTCTCTGTTTGCAGTAGTAAGTCTGACAAAATATAGGAAAAACGAAAAGATGGCCCAGTTTTCTTCATCTACACATGTAGCGTTCCGTTATGTTTGGCTAATCAACAATTACAACCATACCTCAGTTTTGGCAAAAGGAGAAATTCAATTTGTCAACTGGACAAAAGTTTATTTGGTCGAACACATTTCGCAGCTCATCCAAGCTGCTTCTTCAGTTCTGGTCAGACGTTGTTGGACACTGCATTATATATGTCTGGAGTTGTAAATAGGAGATATTTGATAGATTAAAACTCTATCCTCAAACCTAAATCGAAACAAACAAACAAAAACAATAAGGGTAGCAAGGTCAGGCCCAAAGGTGTGAAAGCTCTATTATGGCCCTGAATGATTATGCTAATATGACCCCATACTCAGTGCAGCTCAGTAGGCCTAGCTAACATACAGAAACTGTAAACAAGTAGGTGTGTTAATTTCAGAGTAGTTTCAGTGAAGTTAGCTCCTCCCTTCAGGCAGATATAAGGCAGTGTCCACCAGCGTCTGACCAGAACTGAAGAAGCATCTTAGATGAGCTGTGAAATGTATTCAACTAAACTTTTGGCCAGTTGACAAATTGAATTTCACATAGCTCAGTTTTCATAATTTCCCCACTGACACACAACTCCAAGTGCACATGAGGGCACCAAATTCAAGATGATTCCAAACAGCACAAATACATATGCAGTCTTCATTTTACCACTGATCACATTTACTTCAGTGGGTTTTATCACAGGCGGTCGGTGAGCTCAGTGTCGGGAACTACACCGGAAGTCGTCATTGCATGTTTCCGAACGTTTTCCTGGTTTGTGACGTAAGCGTGCACAGAGTCTATTCATATGTTTTTAAAGATAATTCATTCACTCCATGCTCAATGATGCTAAGATATTGCTTTAGCCAGAGCTGCCCTGGGTTCGACTGACAAAAGTAAGGCAGAAGACAGAAGTATGCAAGGTTGGGGAAGTATTTCGTTTAAAGAGGGGGTATTACTTCTATAGGGTATTTGCTGCTAACACATAACATATTAAGGTCACCTTTTATTGTTTTGTTTCACTTTTCGTTTTTGATCGCTCTTGAGTTCCTGCTCCCCTTGCTCCCCCTTCAGAGCGCTATTGCCTTAGTATGAGTGTGCGCTCCACTAATGAAACTACTGCACAACGCATCGGATTTCTGAAGATGTTGTGTATTATTTTGTGTCATGCTTTTGTATACTTATGGAGAATTGTCATGGGGGAGCAAGGGTGAGGTAAACTGTGGGCTGAGCATTGGTAAGAATCGCAGCTAACCGTAAGGAGGGTTCAAATAGGGCTCGGGAGACATTGCTGAATTTCTGAAACATGCATGGGTGACATCTGAAACCTCTCCAGGCATGTTTTTGATGAGGGAACAATGTTATAACATATTAGAAAGCTCCAAAAAGTCGATTTCAGACAAAAAACACTATATGCACTAGGTCAGAGTGGGATTCAAAGCACCAGCCTTCTCATTAATGGAAGCAACTGCTGATCAATAACACAATCAGCTGCAGAAAGCAAAAATGTGCATACAAAAAAATATAAAGAGATAAAATTAACAACGTTTATTTAACTATAGACTTAAAATAAAAATGGAAATAATCAGTGCAATTGCAAGCTACCTTTTTAGACCCATTTTAATCCTGGTTTCCAACATATTCAACCTGATTAAGTAATTATTTAAACTTAATTTCGACTTAAATCTGATTTAAAAGCAGCTTGCTTCATGGACAATCATACCGTTCAGATTTAGACCCAAAGTCCTTATCTGGTTCATTAAAGATATTACATAAGACACCATAGCGCTGCAGGTGGTGTGAACAATTCAACACCAACTCCTGTTTGAAAGACATATTTATGGAACAAGGACTTCTCGGTTGTATATTTAGTCTCATTGGGGCGTATTTAGTCTGGGGACAGTTGGTGTGCCTGTCCTGGTTTGAACTGGAGCCACCTGAATACATGTATTTGTAAAGCTCGTCCCAAACAGTGCTCTATGCTTTCCTAACACGCAGAGCCCCAGCTGCAGTATGTTTTGGTAAAGGCTAAAGTGGGTTATGGTGTGAGATGTGGCGAGAAAACATCACATTGTTGCTAATATAAATAACATATAAGACATAGCTAAAGCATCAGATAGATAGATTATAAAGCGTACACCTGCAGGCAGTGTAAACTAAAACATGGTTGTGTAATAACTGGGAGAGGAAGCGCATGGTTTTGAGGTTAAGTTCATTCGCTCAAAGTTCATTTCAATTCGATAAAAAGCTGTTTGTATAACCGTCAAAGACACAATATCTGAATGATTGTCCCTGAATTGATTTTGAAACGATTAGCACTGATGTATGATCTGTATGAGGGAGTAACTAGAAGGCAGGCTTTTCATGAGAGTTTCAGTTTGCTTAAAGTTCTTATATTACACTAAATAGACTCTTTTGAGCTTTTGGCCATGTTATAATGTTGTTACCTCATCAAAAACATACCAGGAGTTGTGTTTTGTTTCATTCTCACATTTGATTAATCCTTTATAATTAGTCTGTTTACAGCTCCAAAGTTCAAAATGCTCTGTTCCAACTTGTGATGTAATTTTTAAATTTATTTATTTATTTATTTATTTGATTGGGACAGAGCATATTAATGAACAAACATAATACAACATGAATGTAAACACACCAGATTGTCACAGGGGGCCAAACAATAAAATATTGCACACCAGGGATGGGCATGATTAGTCGATTAATCGATAATTGATCATTAAGAATTTAATCGATTACGTTCATTTTAATCGACAAACCGACTGTAGGTTGCTGTGCGTAGCGTAGGGTGACCAAACGGGGTCCGTACATGTAGCTCTCTGCACTCAGAAGGAGCGAGACACAAACAGTGGGTCAGCCTGCAACGTGCCGAAGCGCAAATGCGTATTTAATGATGACTTGTACAAGAAATTCCGCGTTTTCCGTTGCGTTCGGGACAAGTGGGAGGTCATGTACACAGTGTACAAAGCAGCACATATGTTTCAGTGTCCAATGGGAAAAAGCTTTGCCAGGTGAGAGTCGCGCAATGTCAATGACGAGTCCCCACCTCCCACCCACCGTACGGCGTCCTGGTTTTGACAAACGCAAATATGGTCACACTAACCTGTATTCCACCGAGTCCTGTCACATCAGCGCACAAGAGCTGTTTTTTTTTTCTTCGCTTAGTTTATGCAAATTAGCCATGCGGTTTTAAGTTTCGATTCTGTGAGACTTGCACAAAGCTGCACTAAACATATTATAATCTCAAATGGGCTGATGTGGCTCTAGAGTGGTTACGGTTTATATGTCGTAAAGTTGAATTTATTTATACAGATTAGTAGTGCAGATAGTAATAATAATGATGATAAATTTTAATATAAAAAACTTTAATGATTAATCGATAGTTAATTCTCCCGACGATCAATTAAGAAAATTTAATCAAATGCCCATCCCTATTGCACACTCCACTCATTGCACAATTCGCATTATTGCACACTCAAAAATACTGCACAGTCCAGTCATTGCACAATTCCCATTATTTTGCAGTCAATTTGGCCACACTTTCAATACATGCAGATATGTGTCCATAGAAGATCAATTAAAAGCACAGTACAGGTATACATCAGGACATGTTCGGTTTGACAATAACCAATTTTTTATTTGAGCTTAAAAAAGACCTGTACGTAGGGCATTCTCTCAGTGTTAGTGGAAGACTGTTCCACAGATTCCCACCTTGGACAGGTACATTATAGCCAAATGTGGATGGTCTGTGGGGTATGACCAAGCCACCCCTGGTGACTGCTCACGTGGTCATTTCTGTCTTGAAGCAGTCGTTTTTGAGTTAACAGTTCCTTTTACCTTTAGTTTAGTAGAGATGGCCAATTCCAGAGCTGAAATGATCCAAATGATTCTAGTGAAGGTGCATGGAGTTTAAAAACAATGGGGAGCACATCATGTATTGCCACATGACATCATAAGGAGCAACAGAGTGTTTTCAGTTTGAGAGAAGAACTCACACTAAATATGCAGGAGTGTGAATGAAAAAAAACACAACTTTATACAACACACAATATTATAACATAGATCAGAAAATAGCGTAATATAGACCCTCTAAATCATTTGATATATTATACAAATAAACTAACTGAAGTCATGTGATCTCACCCCAGCCAATGACGTAGTACACCTTCATTCTTCTGTCCTCGCTGATGTTGACAGAGACCACTTTACTCCAGAGCAGCAGCCCCTCCACCAGCATCCACGAGAAAGAAGCCATGTAGAAGAGGTGGAGCAGGGCGGTAACCAGGAAGCATACCACCTGGACAGGACAGAAAATGGGTGTGATATCAAGAAAAACAATGCATATGATTATCCAAACAATATCCAAATCTCACGGTACGATATTATCACGATATGCATCTCACGGTATGATATTTAATGCGATATTTTGAAGAGGCTGATATAATTGTAGATGGAACTCATTTTTGCTTTTAAAATACCTTGACAAGATTTTGGTGTGAATTATTACTGTCATAATCTAAAGAATTCAAGTAAAAAACATATCTCTCCATGTTGTCAGCACTGAAATGAATCATGGGATATGTAGTTCCCTATGTTTTTAAGCTTTTGCTACTATAAAACCATGTATTTAAGCTAAGGAACCTGTGATTTGATATTGTGACAGCCCACGATATTATTGTAAGACTTTTGACGATACAATATCACGATATTTTGGTTATTGTTATGTCCCTATATACGATTTCACAGAGGTATGCATTGGGAGAAGGAGGACTAAAAGGATTAAACTGAGTCAAATATAATATAACAAAATGGAAAACTAGTGTAATCTTTGACTAAGCAACATCAATACAAAGAGGTGAGCTGGGAATGGAATGTAACAAAAAACATATGTTAAAACTGATTCTTGTTTTAGTTATATTAAAACTAAAATGTGATGTATTTTAGCAAATTAAAAGTTTTACTTTAAAGGTGCATTTTCTAGTATAGGGTCTGTCATATGACAACAAACAAACAACAAACATTGTTGCTGGATTAAAGAAGCAATCGAAATACGGAAACGTGCCCAAGGGACTATAAACCGCGATGGAGGAGCTTTTTTACTCTCACACACCTGGGATACTGTCCTGAGGAAGTCGGACTGCAGGTGGTGCTGTCTTCCTAAAGGTAGAGGCAGGATGGCAGCACCACCTGCAAAACCTATAAATTAGCTGAGTGGACACGTCACACCAAAATCACGTGACCACTCTGAGGAAGAGTGCTAGTGAGCAGGCCAGACTGTCAGGAATGAAAACAAACTCTTGGTCTGAAAAAAGATCCTAAAGACATACTTTTTAAATTATATAAAATAATCTAAATGCAGTAGTACTGTACAAATTATTACAGTCACTATGTACCATACAAAGCATGGCCATGAATAAGATGTAAAGACGGTAGCCTACAGCATCGCAAAACCAGCCCACAGCGCTGAACGAGAGATGACGTTTTCGTGGCCAAATGAAATAGCCAATTGGAGAAGAGCCATTCTAGGCAATCAGAGGTGGGGAAGGCGGTACCTTCCCCTACCATCCTACAACTCACAAATTCACTTCTAGGCAACCCAGTAACATCATGGAGAAGCACATGACACACCCACCATAAAAAAAAAAGAAAAAAAAAGTGACATAGTGTGCCTTTAACTCCTACCCCTCACCTCATTGGCTGAAGCCTTATCACTGCACATGAGCAGCAATTGTGCCACGGCCAGAGCCACGATCAGGTTTTTGTGGACGGTAGTTCGGTCGGACTTTGGGACTCTGCACAGATAAAAGCAGAAGAGCAACTCGTCATAAATAACACAGCAAGAACATGTGTAAATATAGTGAACACAAAGCTAGACATTAACATTACTGGCAGTCATGTTTAAGCTTGATATTTTACATATAGAAAAAAGACATTATGTGACTTCATGTGCGCGTTTGCTTGGATTTCTTGAATGTAAATGTATGCTACATGGATGGCTGCAACAGATAATTACTTTTAAATTATTTTGTGTCTATGTTTTCTTTTCCTCAAATACCAAAAACACCCTAAAGGCTTAATTTAGCACACTTCCAGAGCATTATGTATAAGCGCAATTAGCTTATTTTTTTAATTCTAAAATGTGTTGATTATTTTGGTTCAGTAATTTAATATGTTTTTGCTATGTTAATATCATGTTTGCTAATGTGTTAAGCCTAATTTGTTATTATTTACCTTATCACATTTTTTGTTTTTTTGGTTTAGTTCGTGGGGCACCTAGGAGGTAAAAGTGGGTGATGGACCTGTGGTTTTTGCCAGTCGGCAGGAGAGGCAGCAAGTGTACGCTTGATCGTGTATCCTTGTTGTTTACCTGCAAAACTTGAAACAAATCTTGGAAAATGCAGCTCTGGATCTGGACTTTGGGTTTGTTGTGTAAACCACATCCCCATGGTGCCCAAAGGCAATTATTTGAGTGATGTTTAGTTCTAAGTTTGCTCACCGCTTTTATTTGTTAGTTTTTGTTGGCAAATAGTCACTACACAATGGTTATTCCTGTTTTTTATTTTGACTAAAACAGGAATTTCAATGTCATGTGGTCAGCATGTTCAAACCAAATCTTACTTTTGCTGATAATACAGATTTATTCTTAATTACAAAAACATTGGACATTTATTCACTTATTTATGTTAAAATATGGTGTTTTCATTCTTAAAAGCAGAAAGCAGAATGAGCCTCACACAAAACACTCATTAGGTTTTAAAGCTGAAATCCAGTTATTTTAAACCTAAAAGACTCTAAACCCCTAAAGCCCAGCACATGGAGACAATCATGAATCTGTGGTAGTGCAGCTCAGTGAGTTAATTCTGGAGGTCCTGAGATTTCACATGAGGCATGGTCTTACATTATACTGAAAAAAACTGTATGTGTCTCCTATTAGTCTATTGATAAAGTAGTTACTTTTGTTTGTTCATCATGAATGGCAGGTCCTATATTATGCAGAATTGACTCTTGTGAGCTTTAAGCCATGTAATAATGTTACCTCATCACAAAATACTTGGAGTTCTGTTTTGTTTAATTCATACATATTTGAGTAATCCTGGATTAATAATGTATGTAGCTCCAAAGCTTAAAATGCTCTGTTCCACCTTGTGATGTCATGAAGAGGTAGTATTCAAGTTAACAACCACTTTTGCCTTTAGTTCAGTAAAGATTGACAACATTCAAACATGTGTGAAGTAAACAAAACACAGTTCCATGTTTGTGATGAAGAACATAGATAGAACATAGATCAGAAAACAGCATAATATGGACCCTTGTTACCAAATGATTAAATTTCAAATGTTAAGTTACTAAAGTGCACATTTCATTTTAAGCACAGACACTTTATTACTACTTTACTTTACTACTACTAAAGACTACTTTACAGACTTTGACAAAATATATGATAAAAGTTATGGAGAATATTAAATCTCCCTCTCCCACACAGCCTGTAAACAGTGCATGTGTGAGCTAGCCGAGTAGCCATGCTGTTCACATCTCCACAGTCTTTTTTGTACTTATTGATGCGAGCGTGGCCGGGCCTTCTAAAAGCTTTTCACCCCTGGCGCTTTGCGGAGTGCCCCCAGCAACGCTCCCAGACTCACCCCACAGCGATGAAGAGCACGAAGGTGAAGAGGAGGCCGCACAAAGACACTCCACAGCCGATGAACGTCAGCACCTCCAGGGCTCTCTGGTTCTCCGGGCTCCACTGGAAAATACACACACACAAAAAGAAAAACAGGACGTAAATAGAAATATGTGCAGGAAGGACCACAGAAAGCACAGCAAGGCTGAGAGGAGATAGATACATGAATGCAGAAAAAAGTACTAGGGAACCAGAAGCAGGTGATTATATTTTTGGATTATAAGGATACTAATCAATCAGTACTAAAACTATTATTGAAACAAGATGCTGATCTGAGCAGGATTCGATATTAAAAAGTCGCATTCACAGGACAGAAATGAACCTTTCCTGAATAGATTTAGATGATCTTGAGCTGTATCAGAACAAGTATAAGAGCACATAGACTAGTATATGTATACTAGTATACCATGGACCACTATTATTATAGTGATTATACAGATCTAGAACTGCTACTTATATATAAATGTACTATGAATTAATGTTGAAAACGTCATGCTATTATGAGTACTGAGTCTATTCCTTAGTACTGGAATTGAGTTAGAAATTTTTGTATTGTGACAACACTAATAGACCACAGTTTTGGGAATAACTTATTTTTTTACATATAAACAAAAAAGTGTGCAGTTGACAACGGTCCTATTAAATGAATAGATATAGCACTTGACAGTAAATAATGACTAGACATTAGGCCTGTATAATAGTAAAGTGGAAGATGCCATAGTGGTTTTATAACGTTTCACTATAACTGAATTGATGTTATTGTTATTATGCTATTAGTATGTGTGTATGTATGTATGTATGTATGTATGTATGTATGTATGTATGTATGTATGTATGTATGTATGTATGTATGTATTGTGCTGCCTGAACTGAATTTCCTTTGGGATAATGTTTTTGTTTAGTTTAGAAAACTTTATGTATCTCCAAAGGGCAATTCTGTTTGCCGTCACAGACTGCAGCATAAAAAAACACACACACAGGTCAGGTGCTCGTACAATTCTGGACATCAGAGCTGAGCTTTAGTGAAACATAACTGAGACATAAGCTGCAAATGTGGCACAAAGCGCAAAGGCCAGATACAGAACAGAACAACAACATCAGAGCAGTAAACAAAAGCCTATTTCACCTCTGTGTTTAGAAGCCGCATTGGCAGAGGGAATAAAGGAATTAGCAAATCTATTTGTTTTCCTGTTGGGGGCAAGGTAGCGCCTCCCAGAGGGCATCAACGAGAAGCTCTCTTTTAGAATGTCATCTGAGCAGCCAGTGATACATTTGACCTTCTGCAACACCTGCTGCTCCATAAAGAGTTGAGGTTGGGCATTTGCACACCTATTATCTTTGAGCATGTTTTTACAATGTTATTCAGGCTGTTATTGTCTTTAACTGACAAACCATAAAACCAACAGGTAAAAGAAAAGGTTAAAAGGCTCGCAATAAAAGAATGATAAAAAGTATTTCTAATCTTGATATAAAAAGATGGAGTGATAGAAACAAGGGTAGTTCCAATATCGATACTGGTGTTAGCAAAAGCTACGATACTGCACATTTTTCAAGCATCAAAGAAAACCCAAACCAGATTAAAGGCATTGAGGCTAATGCTAATGCTAATGCTAATGCTATCGCTATAGGCTTCTGTACTAATTTGGATAAATAAAAAGTATCGAAACAACCTCATTTCCATTAGAAGGATAGATAGATATATAGATAGTTTTATAACTGGTACCTGGACTTCATAAACTTGGAGGAGCAGAGCGAAGTTGGTGGTGTGGTTGCAGAAGCAGTCAGTGTAGCTGTAATGTTTGGAGACCACCTCACAGCCTTTGGTGTTCCACCAGCCTCCAGACTCAGGCCTAATGACAGACAAAGACCAGTACAAAGACAGCAAAAGATTCAAGGGAATTTATGGCTACCATAGCCACACTGCTATATAAAAACATATTAGTTTCTACTATGGACAATTCTTTTAGACTATTTCATAAATAAAGGTGATTTATATTGTGGCCCTCTATCACTCGTATGGACATTCAGATCACAACTATTCAAGGGTAGTATGCATTAGAAATTTGGCCAAGTAAAAGAAATACTTGAAAACAGGTCTGTGAGATGCATAGACTGATATAGAGCTTTCATTATGAGCAGGTTACAGAACAGTTCTATTGGGGTTTTCAGTTATTCTTGTGATACAGAGCAGAATTATGGTCAGCTGTGTGTGTGCATCCATCACATGCACATGTCTCCAGCTCACTACATGCACCATTGAGCTTTGTTTACTTTGTACTTTGCTTGATAAATATACAAAATAAAAATAAGGTGAACCAACCACAACTAAAAATTTATTTTTAAATAATGGTTTGAGGAGAAAAGAGTTTGGACTTTACTCTGGTTATAAGTGTGCTTATAATAGACTGGACATTTTTCTTATTTTTCATTATGTAATATCTTATATTGTGTAAGTTGTGCAATTGCAGAAACACAATCGCTGCCTGACATCTATGCTTTATAAATACAACTATTTCTTGCTGAAATGTAGTCCAGCATTTTCAGTCATAAATGTTACTTACGCAAGATCAAAATCCCAGAAGGCACAGACAGGATCATACACTGTGCCACTAGGACCCTTCAGAAAACACAAAGACAAACAAATACTTAAAATACTGATGAATACAACACAAAATAATAATGAAGATATATTTGTTGTTTTTGTACCTGGGTCCTGTGGTGTAGATGAAAGCGGACAGCAGTACTGACCGGCTGCTCGTCTCCCAACACTGTGGTGGATATGACCGATGACCCCAGCACTGTGCCCAGATACCTGCATGTACATCAGGTTTGTAAGGTTCATGTTTGTCTTTCATTTAGAATATTTTACATTCTTATGAGTAAATGTTGTTCATTCTCTAATCACTATATATGAAGTGTGCTGAACTGTAGTTAGGTCATTAGATACTGTGCTCAAAGACACAAGAAATAGCTTCAAATTATTCTGAGTGGGAAGTAATGCCTCACAATTTAAAGGCCCTATATATAACACAAAACTGACTGTGAGCTTTTAGCAGTGGTGGGACCAAGTCATCATTGTCCAAGTCTCAAGTAAGTTTCAAGTCTTTCACCTCAAATGCAAGTCAAGTCCCAAGTCAAATACAGGCAAGATCAAGTCGAGTCTCAAGTCACTGGCCTACGAGTCGAAGTCACGTCCAAGTCGTCTGCTTTGAGCTTCAAGTCATTTCGAGTCTTTTATACCACAGTACCAAATACAGCTTAGATTTTAGCAATTTATATAAATTGTACTTAAAAAGTCATGGTGTAATTATATAAGAGTATTTATAAGAGTTGTAGATTTTTTTTTCCTTTTTAAATGTCTTAGTGTGAATCATTATGTTCAGAACAGAAATAATTTAGATTTAAAAGTGCTTAATAACAGTTATTATTTTGTCATGTAGTTCTATGTAGTTCCCTCTGTTTTACTGCACTGTACTGTATATTACTCAATGTTACTGTAGTACATTTGAGGATACCATCTCACAGTACTTCAGTTACATCCAGAGTAAATAGAGCAGTGGGAGTGTCATGTTCCAGTTTGTTCCTGTAAAATTATAGCACCGCATTTATCAGCTGTAAAGAGAAAAGTATTTTCTAAAAACATACTTTTTTTTTTAGGAAAAGCATCAAGTCTTCTAAAGTCACAGGGCTCAAGTCTGAGTCAAGTTCTGAGTCACTGACCTTCAAGTCCAAGTCAGGTCCCAAGTCTTAATCTATTTTATCAAGTCTCAAGTCCTAAAAATAGTGACTCAAGTCTGACTCCATTCTAAGTTACGACTTGGAAGTCCCCACCTCTTGCTTTTAGTCTTTTTTATAACGCTGCTATCTCCTCAAAAACAGACCCGGAGTTGTGTTTTGTTTCATTCACACATGTTTAAACACACAAACCCTGTTCTTTTCTCAAACAGAAAACACTGTTCCACTCCATACACCTTCACTAGAATCACTGTCTCATTTCAGTCCTGGAATTGCCAATCTCTGCGGAACAAAAGTAAAAAAATAACTGTTTAACTTAATAACTACCACTTCATGACATCACAAGGTGGGATAGAGCATTTTGAGCTTTGGATATGTACACAGATTAATAATAAAGTGTTACTCAAACATGTGTGAATCAAACAAAACACAAGTCCAGGTCTGTTTTTGAGGATTATAACATTGTTAAAGCTCACAAGAGTCAACTTTATGTAATACAGGACCTTCAAATGAAACAAAAACATCAGGAGTACAACCATCACCCACCTCAACCTCTCCATCTCCTCCTCTTGATTGACATTTCTACCAGCATCTACACTCCATAGTCTTTTTGATACAATTTTAACCATCTTTATAATCTTGTCATCTAGAATTTCACACACGGCGGACTGCATTTGTTTACCGCTGACTGCCGTCGGTAACCGTGGGAACAATGGAGATGTTTTCCTCGGGAGGGAAGAGCGGACGCAGAGATCCATACCACGTATTGACCAGCGTGAGTGTTTGGAAACCTGAACATGAAAGTAAAGCATGAGTCTCTCCACATGACAGACCAATCACGCTCGCCATGGAAACACACGGGATGAGGTATTGTGTGAAAAAAATTGGCTGATCTTTACACAGAGGCCTTGGAACAGAGCTGAGGTGAGACAAAGAAGCACTCTTTGTAAAGTTTGTTATTCGCGTGTGATCAATCACTGAAGACGTCCTTTTTACATACTGAGCATATGTACTATTCAAAATGCTTAGACTTTTCTTAAACAAAAGACATTTGGTTTGTGTATTATGGATGTAACACTGAGTACATCTTTACACTTTAGAATACTGTATAGATAGTACACTATGCAACTTTTCCAGTGGGGGTCTGCTACTATGGAGAGGATAAAGGGCTGATTTATGTTATAATGTTGTTTTCTCATCAAAAACAGACCTGGAGTTTTGTTTTGTTTCATTCACATATATTTAACACAAAAAGCTTGCGTACTAGTGTCTTCTCTCAAACAGAAAACACACCATGATGTCATGTGGTAATACTGGAAGTGCTCCACTGTGATTTTAAATTCCATGCACCTTCACTAGAATCATTTGGATAATTTCAGTCCAAGAATTGTCAATATCTATGGAACAAAAGGTAAAAAGGTAGCAATTCACTTGAAAACTACGGCCACATTTTGAGCTTTGGAGCTGTAGACACACCAGGTTTAGTCAAACGTGGGAATGAAACAAAAGACAACACCATGTGCGTTTCTGATGAGGTAAAAACATTATAACATGGCTTAAAGCTCACAAGAGTCCATTTGTCTGTAATCTAGGACATGCATTCTGATATCACGGAGTTGGCCTGGTGCCTACTGCTAAATCAAATCTAACTCAAATATGCATGAATTATTGAAAATGCAATACTGAGGAAATATACATTATTATTAAGAGGGTCAAAAGCTCATAAAAATGTATTTTACATTAAATGGACACGACATAGTAGCTTCTGTTTTATGAATAATACTTGCACTAGCAGAAGTACTGAAATGGTTGAAAGTTTGTAGAAGTTTTAGTGTTAACAAAGTCTAGTTTTGTCAGTAAATAAATACTGAAAACATTGATAAAGCCCCAAATACATTCTAAGTTCTGTAATAGCATAGAGAAAAATCCTGCACATTGTCTTACTTGCAAATTGTGAGATTTATTAGGACAAACCATTTCAGCACTAGGCCTTCATCGGGCAAACCCTAGGTCTAATACCAAAACGTTTTTCCTAATAAATCTCACAATTTGCAAGTAAGACGGTGTGCAGGATTTTTTTCTATGCTATTACAGAACTTAGAATGTATATTATATGTTCTTGGGCTGCTCCCTCTCCTCCAACGCGCCCATCTCAAATAACTGATGTGCAAAGTTCTCATTCTTTTATAAGTTCTCTAATGGCAAAAGTGAAGTAGAACATAATGTAATTCCAAAGAAGAAATTGAGTTTAGTTTTAAAATATCACAAAATACATAAAAAGTGATTTACATAAAAACGATATAAAAGCCTGGTTAAAAACATTTACAACTGAAATTGACATTGTTTGATCATTTAGTGAGGGGAGGATGGAGTGTGAGATTGACAGGTGGATCGGTGCAGCGTCGGCAGTGATGCTTCACCATTGTGGTGAAGAGGGAGCTGAACCTCACCTATGGTCATGAGCACTGGGTAATGACCGAAAGGACGAGATCGCGGATACAAGCGGTTGGAATGAGTTTCCTCCGCAGAGTGGCTGGGCGTTCTCTTAGAGATAGGGTGAGGAGCTCAGTCACATGGGAGGAGCTCGGAGTAGAGCCGCTGCTCCTTCACGTCGAGAGGAGCCAGTTGAGGTGGCTCGGGCATCTGTTCCGGATGCCTCCTGGACGCCTCCATGGAGAGGTGTTCCGAGCACGTCCCACCGGGAGGAGGCCCCGGGGAAGACCCAGGACACACTGGAGGAACTATGTCTCTTGGCTGGACTGGGAACACCTTGGGATCCCCCCAGAGGAGCTGGAGGAAGTGTGTGTGGAGAGGGAAGTCTGGAAGTCCCTGCTCAGACTGCTGCCCCCGCAACCCGGCCCCAGATAAGCGGAAAATAATTGAATGGAACTTGTTTTATGTCAGTCAGTCACTAAAAATCTATTATGTCCATTTTACTTTTGCCTCCAGTCGCCTCCATTCTGGAATTTTCCACATCCTAACAACACAGAATTTTACATATATATCTACACACTGTCTTTGTTGCGTACATACCATTGTTGTGTAGATCTTGTATATTGTGTTGGGGCACAGAGATGCAGTCCAGAACAGCGTTTGGGTCTGAGTCCGGTCCACAGAAGTTTGGTCCGGTCCAGCCCTGATCCAGTATCTGCTGCTGCACCTCCAACTCTGCACAACCAGACCTCGTATTAGAACTCATCCTTGTGGAAATGAAACACAAGAGACAAACACTGAAGATTACTGCTAATAATGAGTGTTAAGTAATATTTCTGAAGCAGTAGGAATTATTTGGGACAGGCCCAAAATTAACTAAAGACATCTCAAAGCAGCACTGCAGAACATTCTGGAGGTGGAAATAAAAAGCTACGGAAACAAGCGGGCAAAAAATGCGTTAGGTTTACGGAGATGCAAGCCCGTTCATAGTGACTTTATCCAGTTTTTCAGCACAATAAAAACATCAAAACCAACCAACCAAACAAACAAACAAAAGTGAAAAGGTTACAGAGTGGGGCTTTAGGCAAATCAATAACATTTTCAGATCAAAAAGTACAGTTTTGCCATTTTTGTGTTTTGAATGTTGTTCCTCCTCACCAAGTTCAATAATGAGAAAAGCTTGTTCAACCTGCAGCGTAGACCTCTAGAAACATGTTCAGAAATGCACAGGATTCTTCTGTTCATTTCTCAGTTAATATTTCAGAAATGTTATTGACTTGTGAGTGAGTGACTTAGGTGAGGATTGTCAGTGTTTTGGTATTTGTATACCATAAAAGCAGGCTAAAAGATGTAAAAACGGTGTAGTCTTGAAGATTGGGTCTGACACAGAGATACATAATAGTTTTGACAGCTTTTGCCATGCTTTTAGTTGAATTTCTGTAATTTTTGGATGTCTTTACAATGTGCAGAATCCTACTTTTTCAACATAAAACGCAAAAGTAATCACAAAAATTGCTATTATTATTTTTTTGTCTGCAGCCCTAAAAGATTAGATCTAGACTTATTGATCCACAAGGGAAGTTACTTGGACACAGTAGCTCACACATCACAAAAAAATGTATAATACATTCTACATTACATAAATGTATATGTACAAGTCAAAATAAAATAGAAAATAAGAGGTCGCAGGGAAACAGTGCGAAGATGATATGACGGTTAAGAGAACATGGGGTTATCTGTTACATAAGGGTGAGTAGTTGTACAGTTGTAGGGAGTATTATCTGTTGCATAAAGGTGAGTTGTTGTACAGTTGTATGGAGTGTGGCATGACTGTAGTTCTGTATTGAATACCGGCTCGAGCGTCCCCCTGGCTTGAAGGTCCCAGCTCGATTGTCCCGTTCTCTAGCCGGCCTTTAGTCGGCCGTGTCACGCACTGTGAGGTATTGAGTCAGAAAATCAGCATTCTATATCATAATAAAATGGAATGTGAATGTAGCGAGACCAAATGTCGGGCTTTGTTTATGTCATTGTACCAATTTTTCTGAAGTGACACACGTTTTTTCAGTATATAATATCAATATAATTCTCATTTGCTCGCAGAAGTTTACTAGGAATTTGTATTTTAAATAATTTTGTCCTGTTAGCCTGATTCTTCAGCCGGTTTTACTTCGTTTCACTTCGTACAAACCGTCTGACCTCGCAGCCTTAGATTTCGTTCGCTCGACGGTAGGCGGGTACTTTTTATTATTTAATCAATCGTTGCTATTTGGTCGTGATGTATGTAATGCGCTGCTAACGGGGCTAACTGGTATATTAAGCTTTTCCCAAATCCCGTAGGAAGAAGGGCAATCACGTCTTTCCCCTCGATAAAATTCACCAAACATTCTCTTTGTTCCGGCTTTAAGTCCTCAATCTCAGGAATCGTTGACAACACAGAATATGTGACTCTTCGCTGATTTGCTGGTGCCTGAACTTGCACTTCCACATTTTTTGCAAACCGTCTATTGTATTTTGATTCCTGATCTAGTCGCTGGAGTGAAATTAAATTGAGTGGAGGCACTAGGTGGTGCCAGCCTGGCTAATGTCCTGTAGCACCTGTAACTGTTGATTTGGGAAGAAATATGAATTATTTCCTTACCTGCTGCCATGAACATAATCAACTCATGTCAGGTGTCACGTCATGCAACAGGGGATAAAAGCAGGGTGCTCATTCTTCCCAAATCAGAATACTTGCTTATGCTCAACATGAACAAATGTATTGAGATAAACTGTGACTTGCATGTGTAATTAATCCAATATATAGGTATATATAATGAACAAAATGATGTTTTGTTTTTTTTTTATTCAGATTTTTATTGACAGTCCATTAGAGATGACAGTTTCAAATGACAAATGTACATTCCCCCCCACTTTCGTCCTTCTTTCTTTTTTTTTTCCTTATTCCGTTGAGAATAGAAAGTAAAAAAATAAAATAAAAAAAATAAAAACAATGTTGGGCTGTTAATAAAGTCTTTCCATGGTTTCCAACTTTCCTCATACCTGTCATATTCGTATCTTTAGGTGTGAGTGTCAGTCTTTCTATTTGTAACAATGTTAATCCAGTCCGCCAGATTCGGTAGTCACTCATCCATTTTTTTTTTGGTTATTGCTTTCTTGCTTGCTTTCTTTGTTCCTTTAATGTCATCTGTCCGTTTGCCCAAAAACATAGTTTAAAAATTTTAAGGGATCTTTACTCTAAATCTTTCCTCAATGTTTTGTTTAATTTTCTCCCAATATAGATTCAATTTGGGGCAGCTCCAAAAAACATGATAATGCCCAGCCTTTTTATTCTTTGTGCTGGTGTTTTAAAGAAGCATACCATGCATTTCCACAGGTATTCTCGCCAGTAGGGAAAGGAAGTGGTCCTCCATATGTTTTTTCAAAAATTATGTTGTTTTTTTTATTTATATGTATATAGATTAACTAACATAGTTTCATAAAGGGAACAATTCAGGGGGACTTTCTAGCTGATTTCCACTGTATTTCTCACTGTTTGAGTGGAGATCTAGGGGAGCCTGTTGGAGATTTACGAACTAGAAAACACTGTGTAGCCTAATGACAACATAACATAGACTACTAGATTGACAGAAAAATGAAGTATAAAAGTGTCTTACAGCGCTGTCATAACTCTGAGTCAGTCCACAGTGTGAAAGACCAAATTCACGCTATTCTAATCTGTATGTTTTTGTGATGGAGAATTTGAAAACGCCTGCCGCACTGGAACGATTAGCTTGATTCTGACAGAAAAGCTCCGATCTTTTGTGCATTCAGCATTGGGCGATGAAAATAGCGAATATGTCCAAATGTGCATTCATAGTCAAAGATGAATTCAATCCATTTTGTATTCATGAAACAGAGGCGCCCGGGTCAACCTCCATCTCTCTCTCTTTCACTCTCTGGTTTCTCTCTCTCTCCCTACATCTCTCGCTCCCTCACTTTTCACCCTGTGTTTCAAAACAACAGCCGCGCAGTGAATTGCAATCAACTTTGATTAAAGCCGAGCTGGAATGCGGTTTCCATGGTAACTCCTATTTGTCGTATTTCTCGCGGATTGTAAGAAGTCTTTTATCTTAGGAATCTGATTTGAGAATGTTTTCACTGCATCTTTTTCAAGACAAAGTGGCAGTGAACATGTGAAGGACGGACATTTTGTTCAAATATGTTTTCCTAGTAACTACATACCGACGCAAGCAAATAAGTACAAAGATTTAAAGGCCGATGTTAAAACAGGTCAGACAGATGTAGAGATGGGTGAGAAATATAAAAGGTTGAACTGGATTTGAATCATGATATGGCTCAGTGACAATCTGCCAATAGTGGACCGTAACGAAGTAAAAGTAGTAAAGTATTGTACTAAAATATACATTTCCGGCATCTGTACTTTACTTAAAGGTGCACTATGTAACTTTTTGGTTGGAGGTCTGTCACCTGCTTGTTTCTATGCCACTACTCTGCCTGGAATGTTCCTCAGTATGACATTAAACATCTCTGCCTTACGTTTACTCAATTACAGGTGATTTTATATATTCCAAAACGCCTAGAAAAACAGGCATTTTGACTGTAAGCAGGGTTGCCTCTCCACAGATCTGACCTGTAACTTGGTCTGGTTTGGTCTCCATGAAAACAGAAAGGTATAACAGCATACCGTGAAACATTCCAGACAAGGAAATGAAAAAAAGCATGGGGAAAAAAAGCATTTGACAGTTACACAATGCACCTTTTAAAACTGACACTTTTTACTTTTACTTCACTACATTTGAGAGCAGGTATTTGTACTTTCTAATCCACATTTTTTTAACTGGACTGAAATTATTTTTTCTGAAAGTTTTAGACCTGCTGAAAAGGCTGAGGGTTTATTTTTAACACGTTTGTAGTTTGAGCAAACAAGAAAACGATCGATTCAATTGTTTCTTCCAGTTCAATTCAATTCAGCACAAATCTGTATCAAAAACACAACATTTGAAGTTTTACTAGATCTCAAAATGTGCACAGATTAGTTTTACTTTTTACTCTTTAAGTACATTTTTAAGTGGGTACTTTTACTTAAAGGTACATTGTGTAACTTCTGGGGGAGGGTCCTTCAAAGCTGATACTCCATGAAGATTTTATTGCTTTGGCTGGAATGTTTTACAGTAAGGCATTAAAGCTTTATCTCCATGGAGACCAAACCAGACCAAGTTACAGGTCAGATCTGTGGAAAGGCAACCCTAGGTATTTTTGAGCTATAAAGAACTATAAAACTAGCCAGGCCGGCGCCACCTAGTGCCTCAACTCAGTTTAATTTCTCTTCAGCAACTAGGTCAGGAATCGGAATACACTAGACGGTTTTCAAGAACTCCGGAAGTTGTAGACCGCGCACTGACCAATCAACGAAGAGCTGTGAAGCCATGACGTCAAACTCAAGTGCCTGTCTGGGTCCATTTTAGTGGTACAGCACAACAGTAAATGAAGCGGCCGAGATGGATGTAGACGAAGACAGACATTCTGTGTTGGCAACAATTTCTGAGATCGAGGATTTAAAGCTGGAACAAAGAGAATGTTTGGTGAATTTTATCAAGGGGAAAGATGTTATTGTCCTTCTTCCTACGGGATTTGGTGCATTACGTACGCCACGACCAAATAGCAGCGATTGGTTAAATAAAAAAATACCCGCCTACTGTCGAGCGAATGAATCCTAATACTGCGAGGTCAGACTGATGAATCGGGCTACTTTAAAACCACCTTTACCTGAATAAATGTAAAGTAGAGCTGTTTAATGTCATACTGTGGAACATTACAGGCAGCGCAATGACATATCCATAGCAATGACATATCCAAGCAAGCGACAAACCCCAAACTAAAAAATTACATAGTGCACCTTGAAGGCACAACAACTATATGTGCTCGGTCATTGTGGGACTCAAACTCCTGACCTACTGGCTGGAGGGCGAGCTCTTTCACCGCCTCAGTCACTTTCCTCCCTTAGCGGTGCAATAGTTGTTTTTTGTATCCGTCGTGAAGTGTTACCTAAAGTCAAAAGGTCCAAGCAGAAGAATCACAGGTCTTTAGGAAGACATTTTATTACATTTTGAAACTCTCCTAACAGCATTTAGAATCTTATGTATGCGACCTCTTTACTATGATATTCATACACCCCACCAAAATATTTCCATCCAAGTAGCTTTTTACAGTATTACTATGGAAACACAAAATATGAATAGATGGATGTACAATGTAGCTCTTAAAAAGTTCAGTTATATGTTTACAACGATTAGACACGTCTTTTAAAGGTCCCATATTACGCAAAATTAACTCAGTTTTCAGCCTAAATATGCAGGATTTGTGTATGAAACAAATGAAACAAAACACAACTCCGGGAATGTTTTTGATGAGAAAACAAAATTATAAAACAAATCTGAATATAACGTAATATGGGCCCTTTAAAATCAAATACCTGGGCACTTGAAAAACCAAAGAGAAAATGCGATTTAAGCTCTCCTGCGTCATTCAGAGAGTAAGAATAGCAGTGTTGTGATAGGATGACTTATGCATGATTCAATCACTATACAGATTGTGAAGGACGACTTTTCTCTCCTGTCTAAACCTTGATTCAGTCTTCACAGTTATTCGTCATCGCTGTGTTAAATTCTCCAGCACATTCGATTCAAGTCATAGTCTATGCACCAGAAGCGGGTGGCCAAATACTGTGATCAACTAAGAGTACTGCTACTTCAAAATAATAAAAGTGGAAGTAGAAAATAAAGGTCAGAGAAGGTCCGAGAAGTCTGATAATTGTACTGTTTGTTCGATATAAGTACTAAATCTTTAAAAAAGTAATGAAAGTGAATGTGTTTGAAAAAAAAATAGCCACCTGTGATGCTTTATGTGTTTTGTTTAATTGATATTGTTCATATTATTCTTATAGCCTATCTTTATATCTGGAAAAGTGAATGTGGATTGAATAAATAAACTGAATAAAACAAGTAAAACAAGTGCAATCAGAGGTAGCAACCTGGTCCCCCATGAGGCATCAGTGGGGGCAGTTCGTCACCACGGAAGCAGCTTATGAGGAGCCCAGCCCATATGACATGATCGTTCTATCCACAATGCAATGTGTGTATCTGTACAAGTGCCCATGAACATTTGTGTGATATTGGTCACACATGAGAATGTCTGTGTTTACTAGCGTGTAACAAATATGTCTTTTTTCATGAGTTCTGTATATGTTAGTTGTGTGACTGTAGATCAGTGTGTTGTGTATCACCAAAAAAAGTTCCAATTTGAATTTTAATGGCATACACTGAAAGACAAACGAACTGTTATAATTAGTGATTATCTCAAAAACTATTAATACTATACAAATGCATAGAATTATAAATAGGTAATAATTTTTATGAGATTTTGAGACCACTCCCGCTGCTCTAGCTCGATCCTTCGCGGCGTTATGACCAAAAACGCATATTTGACCTTGGTTACCTTGACCTTCACGTGATCTTGACCAGTTTCAACCTGTAACATCCAGTGTACCCCGGTTATGTGTGTGCCAACTTGTGTGATGACTGGGTGAATATTTTAGCCTGCAGATGGTTCAGAAATTGCAGAGATTGTCGATCCTTTATAATGGCGTGACCTTTCAATTAACCCGTGTGACCTCAAATGACCTCGGATCGTCACCAAACTTTTTTTTTTTGTTTGGCGGCATCGAGCACGAGGGCTTGAGCACACAGGGTGAATACAAAGCCTGGTCAATCTTTCGGGGACCAGGTAAAAAAAACAACAACACTCAAACAATAAAATGCGGGACTCACTGATATTAGGGCTTTGGATGGTCACATGTGGATTCTCAGCCATCAGGTGAGAGCTCAGACTGGTCACCAAACGGTCGATGCTCTTCACCACATCCATGGGGCCGTTCACCACCTGAAACACACACAGGAGAAGGCTCTGCTAAGTACGGTCGTTAAAGTGGATGCCCTTCCTAACACAACCACTATTATCCAGTCTGAAAGTAGAATGAGCGTCACATGAGTCGCTCGTTTGGGTTGCTGGTTTCAAAGCTGAAATCAAGTTGAAAGGACTATCTCTGATCTGAATCCTCACTACCCAAACCCCAGCAACTGCAGCCAATCCTTAAATCTCAGTGAGTGAATTCTGGAGGTTTTGAGCTTTCACATGAGGTAAAATACTGATACTTATATGTGTACTATATGTGAACTAGCGCAGGCTGCAGACAGTTCCTTTAATTGCTGGCCTTCCATGACTTTACAGCACCTTACCTGTGTAGAATGAAATGAGTGAAATGTTAACCCTTTACCTCACCTTACGGTTTGGGATTATAGTTTTTTAACATTCAAAATCCTGTCAGTGCATTTGTTGTCATCTCTTTTAAACAAAAAAAAGGCGCACAAGTTCAGAAATAATCATAATAGCAATAATAGCAATAATAATTTCATTGAATTTACGAATTTCCATGACTTCTCCAGGATTTCCATAACCGTGGGAACCATGTGGCATGTAAGTCAATAATATTTACTACAGATGGAGGACAGTCTAGTCATTAAAAGAAATATTCAGGTTCAGCTTTTGAGAATTTATCTTTTAGACATTTCATAACAAAGTAATCGAAAAGGAAAACTACAAATTTGATGGTTTTCAGATTCTAGAATGTGTTGTTATTATGTCATACTTCAGATAGGAGGCAAGAAACAGATTTCTCTATTGTTCAAATTGCTGCCATGAAATTTCCAAAAGGCTTATTCACATATCTTTAATGTAATCTTTTCTATCACTGACTAGATTAACCATTAACAAAAACAGTTTTTAACAGTTTATTTTAGGTGTTCCACATCTGTATTAAATACTATTGGCCTATAGAGTGTTGTGACGTCATCTGAAACCCAGCAACTGATTGGACTTTGCCATGAAATATAAAATCTGAAAATATTGTGAAGGACCTTAACTCAATTCTGCATAATATTAATTGTATTTCTTTATAAAAAGCAGTAAATAGTATAGTTTAGACAAGTTGGTAAGACTGGTAATGTGTATTATATGTTGTGTATGTTACAACTAAGCAATGAAAAAGTGAGGTTGCCTTACAAAAAATGTCATTTGAAAAACACCTCTAACATAAAAACAATGCAACTTCAGCTACAACTATAAAATATGATTATTTTGTAATTCCAAATTAGATTAGATGTGGCCAAGACCATGCTATACTGCAAAAATCTGCACCCAGAAAAATATTAATTTTAGCTTCTCCCATCTGTATCACATATTATTGCTCTATATAGAATGTAGTGATGTCATCTGGAAAATAGCTGTGTTTCAGATGGCATTTTACACTTCCACTGCCCAGGACTAATGCATTTAAAAGAACAGTTATGTAGAGAGCGATAGTGCATTGATACTGCAACATGCTTCCCAAATCCTTAACTATTCACAAGCATGAACCACGTTTGAAGAAAATATTAAAGAGATATATTGGAAATTGTACATAATTTTATTTAGTCACTAGTTATTCATTGTAATTTATTCAATATATTATAGTTAATGTTTATGATGTAGTATATAGCCACATATATTAACAGCCACATCAAATCATCATCTGCAGCCTTTTACCATCTAAAAAAAACATAGCAAACATCAAAGGTTTACTGTCTAAAGCAGACTTGGAGAAACTTATCCATGCGTTTGTCTCCAGTAGGTTAGACTACTGTAATGGTCTGCTCACTGGTCTCTCCAAACGAGCTGTGAGACGCTGCAGAACATCCAGAACGCTGCAGCTCGGGTCCTGACTCAAACTAGGAAATATGAGCACATAGATTCTGTGCTCAGGTCTCTGCACTGGCCCCTGTGGCTCAGAGACTTTAAAGCAGCTCTGCTTGTGTACAAGTCTGTCCATGGCCCAGCACCAAAGTCCGTCTCTGACATGTTAGTGCCATATGAACCACTTCGCACTCTGAGGGCCTCAGGGACCGGCTCCTGCTAGTGCACAGAGTCGGGACTAAACAAGGGGAGTCAGCGTTTCAGATTCACGCAGCTAAAACCTGGAACAGTCTTCCTGAAAATGTGAGACAGGCCTCTTCTTTGACGCTGCTTAAATCCAGGCTCAAAACGGTTCTGTTTAGCTGTGCATACGACTGAAAGGTTTTCATTCCACACTCTTCTCTCTATTTTATGTAATTAATGTCTCTCTCCCTTTTTTAAAATGTTAATCTTTAATTTTATGATGATTATTTATGTTTTTATTGCAATTTAATGTTTTTCTTATTCTGTAAAGCACTTTGAATTACTTTGTGTACGAACTGTGCTATACAAATAAACTTGCCTTGCATTGCCTATAGTAATGTGTGAAGAATCCCTCAGTCGTCCAGGCTGGTAGAACCTAACTTTTGTCCAGAATTTTCTCCTTGCCATTGCCTATAGTAGTATATGGAACAGGACTGTATGAACTTATATGTGAACTTTTTTTTTTTTATTATGGAACATTTTGTTGAAAATTATGCCAACTTGGACCCTAGGTAGAATAGTCTTTACCCCAGAAGACTAATGGAGATCCAATAAATAAATAAATGAATAAATAAATACATTCAGGCCAATAATATTTAATACAGGTGGGGGGTAGCTAAAATGAATATTGTTAAAATGCACATTTGTGTTGCAGCGAGTTCTCAGGTCTAGTCATTACTGGAAATGATCCGGTTGAATATTAGTGAATTTACCTTTTGGATATTTCACGGCAAATCAATAGTCATGTGGGCGTCTGACATCATCGCCTTCTAGAATCTGTAAAAGCGCCACTAGATAAGCTCATGCTGTGGACGCTGGACCATTGTAACATTTGAAACCCCCTCCCATTCAGAGCACAGGCGTGGAGCAGGCAGAGGAGGAGAGAGGGAGAGAGAGACGGGCTTCCCAAGTGCCACGCTTACATTCAGCCTTAGTGTCCTTGGGAGCGAAGCGACGGAGAGGGGGAAGGCACGCTCATACACAACATTTGTAATGCAATGAAGCGCTCTATACAGATCTATATATGCGCAAACAGTGGAGAGGCAAAGTGACAAAAATATAAAAACAGTAGTGATAGTTGCTACAGTTTTGTTCTTTCTGAAGTATGGAATTACTGAATTGCTATGTTTAAAATGGTGTTACGTGGGTTTGATAGAGATGGAGGAAAGGAATAATTACATTTTAAAAGGTCCTATATTGCACAAAATGGACTCTGTGAGCTTCAAGTCATGTTATAATGCAGTTAGCTCCTCATAAATATACCTGGAGTTGTGTTTTGTTTCATTCATTCATTCATGTTTCATTCTTTACTACAGTATTAGCATGTCCACATCTCCTTCTTTACTGAATTTTAGTAAAGGAGGACAATTCCAGGTCTGAAATGATCCAAGTGAGTGTAGGTTTGCATAGGGACGGTGGAGACATGTCACAACCAGTATTTGGGGAAGACAAAATAGTCCCTACCAATATTTGCCATTTTATTTTAATAAACATATACATTTATTGTGATATTTTCCCAAACTCAATAGTATTAATTTAACATGTTTTAATTGGGGTGTAACAATATCCAAGTCTCACGATATGATGTCATCACAGTATGAACCTCATGGTACGATATTTATTGCGATATCATAGGAAAGCTCACAATTGGGGAGGCTCACGTTTAGGGATGTAACAATATCCAAATCTCTTGGTACGATATTTTCACGATATACATCTCACGGTACGATATTTATTGCGATATTCTGTGGAGGTTAACAAAGCTTTTTCCTCTTAAAATGCCTTGACAAGACTTAATTGAACTAAAAGTGCTTAGAACTGTTATTTTTTCTTGTAGTCTAAACTGAAAAGGAGCAAAGGATCATGGTCTATGTAGTTCCCTCTGTCTCTTTTTAGCTATTGCTGCACCATAATTCTTAAGTAAAGAGACTTCGATTCGATATACTGTGATGGTCCACAATATTATTGTCAGAACTTTGACGATACGATATCACGATATTTCAGTTACTGTTACATCCCTACCTTTTAGTTCACATTTTGTATATTAGACGTTCGGAGATGTATTCAGTGATATGACGACAGGGTTACTCCTGCCACTATTTCATTGGCTGTAACAGAGTGATGTCATTAGTGGAGCCAGGAGCCTAAACTGGGGAAGCAGCAGGACAGGGCCGCACCTGAAGATGGCGGCTCGAGCAGGCATGAGTGAAGATGCTGCACCAAACTTTGAAAAACTTTTCAAAAAGAACTTACTTGGCTTCATCTTCAATTAAACTTTTGTCATAATGAGTCGCTGCAGAAAAAGAGCAACTAGCATCACAAATGCTATCACCTACTCGTGCGCCGTTAGCAGCCGGACTCTACTGACAATATTCCATGGAAAAAATTTTGTACATGACATCACAAATATCTCATCACCAACAAGCAAAGGGAAATCTGATACAAACTTCTACATCACTGGTATCCACTAAAGAATCATCTTAGAAGGACAATGGACTCAAACTGTACATTTTGTGAACTGAAAAATGAAACCACCTTCACTTATATTAGACCTGCCCCGACTCTGTGTATTTATGGAAAGAATTCATAAAGCAGAGAAGCAACTTCTTACTCCATTTTACCCTTTCTTATAAAGATGTGCTGTTTGGTTTTTGCAGTGTGCGTCATATGAAAAGTAAACAATATTATATAATTAATCTGTTAATCAAGTAACCTATCAGTTGGTTTTAACCTACACACTTGTGTGTAGTTTAAAAACACAGCTGAGCATTTCCTGTTTTACCACATGACATCACAAGGTGGAGCAGAGTGTTTTCTGTTTGAGAGAAGAACTTAGCCTAAATGAGCAGGATTTGTGTGTTAAAAGTGTGTGAATGTGAATGAAACACAACACAACTCCAGGTATGTTTCTGATGAGGAAAAATAATGTAATATGGGCCCTTTAAGTATAGATTTTTGGTTTGGTGTGAAAATAAATAGAGAATCCATGATACAATTTAGGACTGTGCAATTAATGACATTTTAATCAAGATTCACAAGTTTCTAATTGTCATTATTCAGCTTGGACCTTTTTAATTGTGAAGTCCACATCCAATTCTCTGTCAGTAACGGCGTTAGGTTTGGAGCGGAGACAATTTTTTGTTTTAAAATGAAATTATTAAAACAACACCTAGTTTATGTTCAGGAAATTAATACTGAAAGTCATTTTTATATTTTTTTAATAAGACAAAATAAAGTCGATCAGTATGAGGTTTGTTTTTTGTTTTTTTACTCATACCACGCACTGTTTTAAAAGTGATCTTTATCGTTTGCAGATTTTAAATTTTTTATTCACATGTAAACTGAAAATACAATCAACAACTGCTGGAGTAGTTGGAATAAAGTGTGTTTACAAAGTTGTTCACTAATATAAATTATTAAAGTCATTATATAAGTCTAGGCTTGAATTCTAAATTGAAGTTATAGTATTGTGCTCCATAACTACAAGTATATATGTATGCACACACTGCCCTCTAGTAGCCCTAAAGTGAACTGAACAATATCTGAAATTGCATCTACAGTCACAATAAATAAAAGAAAGTAAAGGAAGTTGCTTAGACATTAGTGTGGATGAAGACGAGGACATGAAGAGACTGAGGTGGCTAATGATTTTTCTGCTGCGGCGTAGGACAGAGGAGGAGTGGGTTTCAGCTTCCTGTTATAGACTAAATTTTTTTGAAAATTGTTAATTGCTAAGTAAAGAAATAAATTTGATAATATTACAATTGTAAAAAAATATATATATACACAATTAAAATTGAGCTCAAAAAAGACCAAAATGTCTAGTGTCATCTAAATTAATCTAAATGAATGAATGAATAAATAAATAAAGACAGATACATCAATTAATTAATTAAAATAAAATAAAACAAAATAAATATTATAATAGACCCTCAGCGCTGTATTGTACCTCTTTGATGGCCTGCCACTTGTGGGCGTTGTCCTGGCTGATCACGCTGTCGGCCACACTGATGAAGTCCTGGCTGAGCTTCTGGACCCGCCCCTCGCTGTGATTGGCCGGAGTGGGGTCCGTCTCTGGGGGGACGTCGGCGGTCTGGGACAGTAGCTGTATGAGGGACACCATGTCCACAGGCTGAAGTCCCTCCTCCTCGGTCTGCTCCAGGGCCTGCACGCACGAGTCCAGCTGCACCGAGGCTTCCACCAGGCTAGAGGGGGCGGAGACCTGAAACGATAAAAATAATTATAATAATGAAAAGACTAAGAGAAGTAGTTTGCAGAGACTAAAGGTGCACTATGTAACTTTTTGGATGGGAGTTAGTCACCTTCTTGTTTCTATGGATATGTCATTGCTCTGCCTGTAATGTTCCACAGCATGACATTCACTCAATTACAGATGGTTTTATAGTTCAGAAATAAATACAATTCTGATTGCCTCTTCACAGGTCTGACCTGTAACTTTGTCTGGTTTGGTCTCCATGAAGATAAAAACGTTTAATACCATACTGTGAAATATTCTGGACAAAGCAATAACATCTCTGTGAAGAAAAGCATGTGATGGACCCTCCACCCGAAAAGTTACACAACAGTGTCAATAGAGTCAAAATTTATAATAGGCAAAATGTTAGTTCTTCAAAATGCAATGCTAGTATTTACTTTACAAACCTATTTAGAGATGTTAAAGGGCTCATATTACACTATTCAGGTTATAAATTTGTTGTTTTTTCCAAGTTTTCAGGTTAACAGCCTTACTTTTTTTCAGTAGAGATTGGCAACTCCAGAGCTGAAATGATCCATATTACTCTAGTGAATGTGTATGGAGTTTAAAAACAAATTGGAGCACATCCTGTATTACCACATGACATAACAAAGTGTTTTGTGTTTGTGTTAAATGTGTGTGAATGAAACAAAACATGACTCCAGGTATGTTTGTGATGAAGAAACAACATTGTAATATCAGAAAATAGCATAATATGAGACATTTAAGGTGTCTTTTGTTAGTTTTTGAATATAGTAGCTGTACATTACCAGTGTTTTGTTGGAGTTTGTGAGTAAAGTAGTTGTACATTACCTGTGTTTTGTTGGAGTGTGTGAGGATGTGGCTCAGGAAGGCTGTCGGCTGACTGTCCCTCACATCAGTGATCTTCTTCAACTTCAGAAAACGCTCTAAGGCAAAAGCAACAAATGATTCAGATTTTGACACATTTTCACTATAAACACAACCTCAAAAGCATTCACTTAATAAGAGTAATTACATACATATTATATTTAAATATTATATTTTACATTTGCAAAACAGTTTAAGACCTACTCTGCAAAATTAACTTTTAAAGGTACATTATGTAACTTTTTGGTTGGAGGCCCGTCACCTGCTTGTTTCTACAGAGATGTCGTTGCTTTGCCTGGTATGTTCCACATTATGAAAATTAACAGATCTACCTTACATTTATTCAATTACAGGTGGTTTTATTGCTCAAAAATACCTAGAAAAACAGGTATTCTGACTGTGAGTGGGGTTGTCCCTCCCTACATCTGACCTGTAACTTGGACTGGTAACTAATAACAAAGTAAGACACTAACACCTCCATGAAGACAAGCATTTGATGGACCACCAGAAAAGTTATGCACTTTTAAAAATGTTATAGTTCTTTCCCCTTGTCATTTACCCTCTCCAAGTTGTATTTGGAGTGATTCGAGAATATTTGATCACTTATTTTCAAGACGCCGTTTTGCCGATTAATCCCTGTTTTCACCCCTACTGTTAGATGCCCTATGGTCTGAACTTACTTCATTCTTCAATTTAATTTTCTTAATCAGTGATACACATAGGATTTCAACAGCACTGCGTAGTCATGCTGGTGCAATTTTTATTTATTTATTTTTTATAAAATTGATTGCTTGATTTGCACCTATCCATAGGAGGGGTCAACAACTTCACATTTCTTTGTTGTGATGGCGTTTATGGTGATGTCAGCTCCAATGGGTACCACAGTTTTCTAATGCAAATATCAGCAGACATATTTCTTTTATTAAATCGTTGTAGATCAATATTGCGAGTTAAAAACACAATGATCCACGGGTATTGTACATTAAAACTATACAGCAGGCCAAGCACAACATGTCTTCTTTAAAGGTACATTGTGTAAGTTTTCTGGTGGAGGGTCCGTCAAATACTTTTCACAGTATGGCATTAAGCCTTCCTATCTTCATGGAAACCAAACCAGACCAAGTTACAGGTCAGATCTGTGGAGAGGCAACTCACAGTCAGAATGCCTGTTTTTCTAGGTATTTTTCAGCTATAAAACCACCTGTAATGTAATAAATGTAAGGTAGACCTGTTTAATGTCATACTGTGGAACATTCCGGGCAGAGCAATGACATTGAAACAAACAGGTGAAGGACCCCTCAACCAAAAAGTTACACAATGCACTTTTAAAGAAGAGGCATTACAATTCTTTGGAGTTTTAATTGCTAATACAAAACATATTTAGATCACCATGTTACCCTTTGTTAGATTGAAATTGTTATATTTACTGGAAACAACTTCTGACCGCAAGATCACTGGGGGTGAGGTGAGCTAAGTGTCTTGCCCAGGGACACAACAACAGCATTCAGCATTGGGAGCTGGAATCGCACTGCCAACACTTTCTGGAGGGTCCACCAGAAAGGTCTTTCTGCATGGAGATGTTATTGCTTTGTCTGGAATGTTTCACAGTATGGCATTACACATTTCTATCTTCATGGAGACCAAACCAGATGATGTTACAGGTCAGGTCTATGGAGAGGCAACCCTCTCACAGTCAGAATGCCTGTTTTTCTAGGTATTTTTGAGCTATAAAACCACCTGTAAGTGAATAAAAGTAAAGTAGATCTGGTTCTACCCACTACCGAAAACTTGAATAATTAACAACCATTTCGTTAGTACCAGTAATAGGGACATGCTCCTCAGGTTTTTACTGCATTGTTGTGAATAGTGCATCGGTGTGTAACAGATGCTGGAGTCTCACCTTTGTTGCTCCTGCAGATGAATAGCAGTGGCTCAGAGCAGTCCATGAGGCTGAACACTGGCTGCTGATTGGTCCAACCCTGCAGCGTCCTACAGCCCTGGAGCTCCATCTGCTGGTCCTTTGCTGTCAGTGCACACATACAAGACAAACAAGAAGACAAGTGTTGATTAGATAAAGAAATGTGTTAATGTGTTTGTATGTAAATGTTATTCTTTTCTTCTCTGTCTCTATGGAATTGCAAAAAAAAAAAAAAAAAACAGTAACAGAATCATGTCACCCTGTTCTATAGGCTGTACTTATTTTATATTGATCCAAAGTTAAGTTGACATGTTTATAAATATGTATTATCAAATGTAATGCAATTATTATTATTATTCAAATTATTTTTAGTTTCTTTCATGAAATTGTAATTTAAAATGTTGTACCATTAGCATACAAAAGGCATTTAAAATTCCATTAAATGCAAAATCAGCAGCTATTGTTTTTAACCTCATTCATTTCATGCCAGGCTGCCATTGTAGGGTTAATCCTGTTTGCTGGTAATTATGGTATTTTCTATTAGACAGTTACACACAATGCAAATGCAAAAATGTCCTGAAGTAGCCTCAAAATCCTGACTTATAAAACCTTTTCATAAAGAAATGTATTGTACAAATGTACCTCAGCCCACTTCTTGTTTAATTACAGTATTATGTGTGCCTATTGTTTGCCAAAGACAGCGCCGCTAACAGAGGTATAGCTCTTATGTTGATACAGACTCTATTGTGTTCCGTCTCTGTTGTTCCATTGGAGAATAATACAGTTTCTTTGAGCTAGAATGTAAGACAGCTCAAGTAAAAAAGAGAGAAAACCACATGTTTATGCTCAACTTTTTTACATTTGCAAGATGTACACTGTAACTGAATACACCGTGATCATATAGGCTGTGTTTAGTTCACAAAAGGTAGCGGAGTTTAGCAGTGAGAACATTTTTATGTGTATTTTTTATGTTTGATTAAATAATGATTGGTTCAAAAATGAATTGTAAAGCGCTTTGACTATCAGGGAGAGCACAATAACAGGCCATGTGGACAACCTGATACTACAACACCGTTAACATTTCCTAAAAACATGTTCATGAATTAAAATAATGACGTGTCATAAAATGAAATAAAACCGGAAAAGGTTTCTGATCAAACACTTTAGCACATTTAAAGGTTAAACTAGTTGTCACTTTTCTGATGGAAGGTCCGCCACTTTCTTGTCTTCTTAGGCCCCGTCCACACTCGTACGTATTTGAGTCGTTTTCGTTGTGGATGCAGTGTTCGTCCACACTAACCCAACTGAAAACAGCTCCAGAGACGGAACGATCTGGTGCCGCCAGGTCCCACGAATTCATCTGAGTACAGATCTGACTCAGGAACAAACACTGAAAACACTGATACTCTGAAATGCTGATGTAGGTCTATGCGTCGCGAAGTAGTTAATTCACCGTCAAAATGTTAAGAGACTAGCATATATTCAGTGTATGCGTATGACCTGTAGATGTATAATCTCTGAAAAGTTGAACATGAACCATCTCCAACGCGATAGAAGCACAGAACATACTCACCATCAGCAGAACACCCCTCTGTTACAGAAACAACAAATATATTGTACTGAGTCGTGTCCTTTAGTCTGACAGAAGCTGATCAGCGCACAATAGAGAGCTGTTTTGAGTGCTCAGTTTATACAAATTAATAATGCGGTTTTAAGTTTTGTTTCTGTAAAACGTAAACACATATGCTCAAAGCTGTGTGAATAAGGAAGGATTGCGGACACAGAAACGACGTGTCTGGACGCAAATAGTTTCTGATACGGTGATACGTAGATTCATTTCAGTGTAAACGGGGTCTTGGAGATGTTAGGCTATTTTCCTGGAATGTTCCACACTATGGCATTAAACTTGTCAATCTCCATGGAGACAACCTGGTGACGCAGGCAAACAAAGTTACAGGCCGAATCTGTGGGAGAGGCACCCGCTCAAAGTAAGAATGCTATACTGTGGAACATTTAACAAAAAGTTAACAAAGAAGTCCACCAGAAAAGTTACATAGTGCACCTTTAAACACACTGGAAATTTGATTTGTTTCTAATCTGTAATTTGTAGTAGTTCTAGTCTTTGACTTATTTTGGAGTGTTGTATTTTTTAGATAAGTGCAGGTGAAATATATACAAACCTGGACAGAAAAGCAGAGCGTCCATCTCTCTGACCACCTCATGCCTGCTCAAAAGCTCTAGATTCCAGCTGAAGAACACCTCATGTGACCCTGGCGAGCACCCGTAGAGCGCCCGCACGTGCCTCGCCTCCAGTGACGTATTCCACACATTCAAATCTGTGATATTCCCAAAGAACGGCTCCGTAAAATTCCCTCCGAACGAGTCCTGGTCCTGCCCCAAAATGAATATCCCATCTCCGTGTATATCCCTGGACGACTCTGCTCCACTGCCTGCGTCCTTTCTCTCCCCGTCCACGTAGATGGTCCACTGCTCGCCAGCTTGTGTCCAGGTAACGCAGATGTGGTGCCAGTTTCCGTCATTTGGGAAAGAGGCCTTGTAGGGCATGTGTTTTCCGTGAATGATGAGGGCTAGCAGGATTCGGCCCTGGCTGTCGACTTGGCTGCGAAGTTGGAATTCGTTGGTAAAGACGGGGGCCGCGTAGGAGAAGATGGTGGACACTTCGCTCCACTGGGGGTCCCACTGCACACGCACGCACACGCTGATGGAGGACAGGCCTGGGAAGGAGATGTTGATCCGGGCGAAACCATCACGAGTCTCCTTTGGGAAGTTGAGAGCGGAGAATTTTACATCTGGGAAGTAAAAGAAAGGGGTATTTAAGTGAGAAGTAGGTTATCTTTAGATCTAACTATAGCAAAAGAGGATTGGTGCAGGAAATTCAGGTCCAAAAAATAATATAAAGAGTTAAATAAACGTAACCTCCTTGTCTCCATGAAGATGTTATTGCCTTGTTACCTCAGTCACAGGGCAAAATGTTATTTATAGTCGTTCACATAACCAAATTAGGACTAAACTAAACTTTCACAGAACCAGGACAAAAACAGAACCAAGACAAGCGCAATCGGAAATAGCAACCTGGTCCCCCATGAGGCATCGGTGGGGGCAGTTCATCACCACGGAAGCAGCTTATGAGGAGCCCAACCCATATTACATGATCATTATATCCACATTGCAATGTGTGTATCTGTACAGGCCCATGAACATTTGTGTGATATTGGTCACACATAAGAATGTCTATGTTTACTAGTGTGTAATGAGTTTGTGTGTATGTTAGTTGTGTGACTGTAGATCAGTGTGTTGTGTATCACCAGAAAAAGAAAAAAATGGAAATTATTTTCGTTCCAATTACAATTTTGACAGCATACACAATTAATATTTTACCATACAAATGCATAGAATTATAAATAGATAATATTTTTTCTGAGATTTTGAGACCACTCCCGTTGCTCTAGCTCGATCCTTCACGGAGTTATGACCCAAAATGCATATTTGACCTTGGTTACATTGACCTTCAAGTGACCTTGAGTGGTTTCAACCTGTAACATCCAGTGTACCCCGGTTATGTGTATGTCAACTTGTGTGATGATTGGGTGAATATTTTAGGCCGCAGATGGTTCAGAAATTGGCGAAATTGCCGATCCTTTATAATGGCGTGACCTTTCAATCGACCCGTGTGACCTCAAATGACCTCGGATCATCACCAAACTTTTTTTATGGCATCGGGCACGGAGGCTTGCCCCACATACCAAATTTGGTGACAAAGAGTCCATAAATGGCAGAATTATCCTGGGTGCACAGACAGACACACACACACAGACAAACACACACACACACACACACACAGGGTGAATACAAAACCTGGTCAACCCTTTCAAGGACCAGGTAACAAGTCTCCATCTGGACTAAAGGGCATCCCAGACAGGTCTAAACCAGGACTACCTGTTTGTACATCCACTTAACAATTTCAATTCCATGGCTAGAATTATACTCAATTAAATCCATAGTCCCACCATAGACTGTATAAAGAAGTGGACTAAGGGAGTGTGACGTCACCCTTTTGGAACAGATGGCTCCAGTCAAATGAAGTTCACCAGGTTGGCGGTTTTAGGGGCGAATTTGGAGCCAAAGATCATATTAAAAAATTTGAATTTAGTAATGAACAAAATAGTGAAATAAAAACACCAGGATCATGTAGAGTGGGTTTTACAAACATTTTAAGACCAAATTGTCAAGGCTAACTGCAGCAGTTACAGAGAGAGGTGTGATAATATTCAAGTGTAAGTCATTTGGAGCCAGGGTCAGGATGTGCAAAAATATCAAAATATCGCTATATCGTTTCATTTAATGTGATGATACAGTATTGATAATGTAGGCAGCTATATCGATATATCACCAAGTATTAGTATTTTAGTATTTTTTGGTATATTTTACAAAATTATTTTGTGACAGTGCTAAAGTTTTGTGGCTTTTTTATAGGAAGAAAACTAGTTTATGCAACACATTTGACATTTTCACTGTTTTAATGATTAAAGTTGGTGTGTTTCAGATTTATTTTGCACAAGAAGTGGTTTAACAAAGACTTTTAGTATCACAGCCATGATTTAGCCTTTATTTTCTCTGAACATCTATATATTGTATCAAACTGAAAGTGCACTGTATCAAGATATGTATCACATAGTGGCCTGTGGATCGAGGTATCAAGGTATGCATTAGCTATGTCCATTTATATAGAGCTACTGAGCTTTTGAGATATAGACAGACTAATAATAAACCAAAACACAACAAAACACTATGATATAACAACATTCTCACATGGTTTAAAGTTTAAGGAGTCAATTTTATGTAACAGGACATTTATGAGTGTGTATTAGTGTACTTACATTGTTTGGACAGGGCCTGTGGTTTTGAAGGTGCTTTGGTTGAATCCTGAATCCAGACTGGTGAGATGACTCCGGTCTGTAGGAGCAGCTGGCGGAGGCCACGTAGTTCCTCCTCCTCCTGGTCAGAGGAGGGCAGTGTGCTGAAGTGTCCTCTGCACACGCTCTGGGCTCTGGAGAAGGGTAGGGACATGTTGATCAGCTGAAAAGCCCACTGTGACGTCAGGTGGACCAGAGAGGCTGGTTCTGTGCACAATACAACACCAAACATTCAACTGAGAATTTGAAACACAGGATAAGTCAATACAATACATCAATGCATATCATACGTCATACTTGGATCACAGAACAGGTAATCTCATGATATGGCAATACTTCAATAGCTGGTAAATAGACATGCACATCCAATAAAAGATGTGACTGTGTGCTGGGTCCAAAGACAAAAATTGCGAGATCCTCACTGCAGTTCTTTCAAGCATTTTAATGACACCACAATGTGATGGGGTCAAGCCCTTCTTCAGACATGTCTGAAGTAATAGATATTTTAGCAGTGATATATCAATATACATATCATGATAAATCCATGTATCACGATGTATCTAAATGGGAATGTTTTGTCACTGTCCTTTTTAAATGTGGACAACACAGCAAATGCAGTGGTCTAATTTGGGTATTTAATGTGTTGACTAAAACACAATAAAAGACAGCACAATGAGCAGCAGCAGTGGGCTGTAAAGGGGTTCTCAGGCTGATTTAGTGTCTTACCCTGACTCTCCCCGGCTCTGTCTGCTGTAGGCTCAGTCTCACACACCACCTGTAACACATAACACAACACTAGTATAGGCGAGTTTCAGCTGACGTCATTGTTATTAAAAGCCCGCGTTGCATGCTGGGAAATATTTTGGTCGGAGGCAAGAAACACGATAGCGGTCAAACACAGTGCGTAACCTCGCGTATTTATCCCCGATAATGGTAAATTCCTGCTGCATTATCGGCTGCACAAATAGAAGCACGTAAGAAAGAAAATGTCTTTTTCGTATTCTGAGTGAAAAGAACCGCTAACGGTGAATTAAATGACTTTCAAACATCCACAGAGCAAACGTAGAAGATCCTAACAAAGGTTCAACAACACATCGAGACTCTTGGAGGTTTTCATCTTTTCTGCTGTGAATGGCCCAGGAGTTTCCACCAAGTCATTGTGGATATCGCCGAAGTGAGTATTTAGCCAGGTAGTTGGCGATTCTGACCAGAAATCTGGTTTGGTCCACCTTTTGTCGGGGTTGAAAAGGGTGATTTGTCGTCCATCGATGCTTATGACCAATTTCTGGTCAAATGGTCTTGGGTCCTCTGCCGTTAGAGTGGATAAATAACCAGGATCAATACCCTTTACGTGCTTTCTCGCTCTGTCCGTCATGTTGAATTAGTGTTTCTTGCCGCCGACCAAAATAATTCCCAGCATGCAACGCGCGCTTTTGTCAACAATGAAACTCGCCTATACACACAAGACTATGTTCATTCTGTAAACTTTTACTTCTTCACTTTTTCTTGGCAAAATAAGTTTCGCAGCTCATTCAAGCTGAGCATGAGCTACAAGACCTATTCAATCAAAGAACTTTTGTCCAGTTGACAGAATTACATTTCTTCTTTGCTATGGATCCTACCTGGACAACTGAGGCATTTCACCGCTTGCAGTAGAAATTCTACATAAACACAGTGACTTTGTTTGATTTTGATTTGATGGAAAAGAATTTTGAAGTTCATTTGAATATTTTAATCTCACTTTTGCCCCACTAGTCCACATAGTGTACGGCTGTGTGGGCCGTGTATCAACAGGAGGAGGACAATACCAAGGTGAAGGTGCAGCATTGCCTCTTTGACCTTCTGACACAAACCACACAAACCAAACTCATTAAAGTTCCTACACCACTGGACACTGCACCCAGGAACACACCATTTATCTCAACTATCTCAACAATGGCTAAAAACTGACAGGATGAGAGGGAAAAGCTGGCACATGTTTGTGTGCTTCACTTTTCATGTGGACTATGCAGCACTGATCCAGCCTTTTCACTTCTGATACTCATACTCCATGGAGATGTTAGTTTACTGGAATGTTTCACTGTATGGTATTAAACCTTTCTATCTCCATGGAGACCAAACCAGACCATGTTATAAGTCAGATCTGTAGAAAGGCAGCCCTGCTCACAGTCAGAATGCTGTTTTTCTATGCATTATTGAGCTATAAAACCACATATAATTGAATAAATATAAGGCAGAGCTCTTTAATGTCATGCTGTGGAACATTCCAGGTAGAGAAATTACATATCCATAGAAACAAGCAGGTGATGGACCCCCAACTAAAAAGTTACATAGTGCACCCATAAGTATCTTTCCATAACCAATATCAACCAATACCAGAGCAGAGATAAAATAAGACAAAACGGATCCAAATGTGATATGTAGCTGGTGACTAAATAACACTAGTAACTACACAACAGCTTTGTGAAAAATAAAAGTTAAAATATTGTGAGACTTTTTGAGTCCTCTACAACCAGTAAACAGTCTTATTACATCATTGTATTTCCACTCAGGATATCGGCTGAAATAATATTTGGAAGTCGATATCGGATCTACGCATTTTTTCACTATTGGTGCTGATATCTGATGCCATTATGAGTGCATACGTAATGTGGACTGCAATATCAGATTTTCAAAGAGTAGAAGATGTAGTTGTTCAGACTAATAGGGTTTTCTTCAAAAAATCTTAAAACTGGTGATTCGTGCAAGCAAGATTATTTCTTCAGTGGTACTCCAATCTAATACTGGTATCAGATATTGGTACAGATACTTTGCTGGATCAAATATTGGCCTTCAAATATTGGTTCGGTTGATATTTTGGATATCATAAATTGATGTAATAAGACTATGTGCTGGTCATAGTCGGCCCAGAAAGTTAAATCATGTTTGAACATTTATTTATACACAGCTTTCGCATGGTTAACTGAAGGATAAACAAGCTGCATGCAGAATCACGCAAGTGGCATGCTACCTCTAGAAAGTTACACACTGTTGCTTTAATTACAACAAATTGTTTAGGCTAAGTCAAATTGATCATCCTCAACATTAGTAGTAGAACATGTATTCATTATTGTCTTACCACAATAGAGAAAAGCAGCAGTCCAGTTTGCAGAGCAGAGGTCATCTCTGGGTCAGTCTAAACTCGTGCAGACAAAACTATTTCTTCTTCCCCAATAAAACAGAACAGTTACAACACATGACAGGTTAGGCTCCTATGTCCTTCAGTAGTGTCCCATTGCAACATGTTTCTCGAGGTTCTCAATCTCTGATACATTCTCTATCACTCAAAGAGCCCCATATAACTTTGTCCGATCAAAATATAGTCCTCGAAAATAGTACAAAATCCAAACTTGGTTCAAAAATGAAAAAGAATCATCCAGTCTTCAATGCACAGTCCGGTAACCAACCAAGAGTCTATGTCCTAAGAGCCCCCTCTTCTCTGCAGACCCATCCCATCTCCTCCCTCTCTCCCTCTCTCGCACCAGCAGTCGTGGGGTATTGTCATGCTAATGTGGCTATTTTTTAAAAGAAGCCATTTACGCAAGCAGTGTCAGGCATTTGGCAAAAGGAGGTGGCGAGGAGCGGGAGGGCGGCGGACATTTTGACCACATATTCCTTGTTTATACACTTAAGAGTATGTGTTTTATAGGGAGGCCTCTGTTGTAATGTACTGTAAGCACAGCTCAAGCGCTGAATGTACAGTACATCACAGAGCACTTCATCTGGACCAAAACAGAGATACTAGTTAATGTCATGTTAAAGGCGTTTTTAGTGATTCTTGTTTAAAGGTGCACTATGTAACTTTTATGGTTAAGGGTCCGCCACCTGCTTGTCTCCATAGAGATGTGTCACATTACAGAACACATATATAGAGAGGTGAACCCCACTCACAGTAAGCCAAACCAAAATATTTTTGAGGTGCAAATACTCAAATAAAACAGAAATGTGCAGGTTTACCCTGGTCTCAGACTGCATGTGGTGTGGGAGTGGCGACACTCAGATGAGGCCCGGAGCTCTGCTGTCTGCACATTTGAGGGCTGCACAGAGACCACGTGTTCACACAATAAACATTTATGTATGAAGGGAAAAGCCTGCAGTCGCTCCAGTGTCCGGCAAAAAGAGAATCCAACTGAACTGATCTGGAGCGCCGCCGCAGCACCTCCACCAGCACCACTGGAGCTTCACATGTGTGCTCTGAGCTCCTCTCAGTACTTGTAAAGACAGTATAAAAATATGAGCGACCACTGGACCGGAGTTGGACTGTGTGCAGTTTGAGCTTGGGGTTAAAGCAAGCAGCTCTACTTGAGTTAATTCTTGCTATTGGACATTTCAGTGGTTCAGGAGTGTACCAACACCTTATAAACTCATTTAAGTCTTTTATTTATCGTTACGAAAGGCGCTACAACACAAAACAGGGAGTTGTAATTGGAACTAAATAAGTCTCCAATTAGTATTCTCAATGAGTCCAAGCCTAAGAGTGCATAGTTGGAGGAGAGCCAAGTGGAACGCAGCCTGCTCTGGTTTAGGCTTTTGGTCTCCTCTTAACAGTGATAGAATCCAGCTAAAACAAGTGAGTACGTCAGTCTCTCTCCAGGCTACTGCAGATAAAAAGAAAGCACTCAGTCATCAGTGTTTGCACCAAATAGAAGGAGCTAAAAACCTGACAGTCCAAATGGTACTTTTGAAATATGCCTCGTCTGGCCTTTTGGTGACTGCCAGAAACAAACCGGGAAACTAGTGAAAATACTTGCGCGTCTACAATGTTATGTTCAGTAAAGCTGCAAGATTAATCGTAATAAAATTGGCATTGCGATTTGAATGGTTGCAACTGCAAAGATCACAAATACTGCAGTTATTTAGGCAGCAGTGTCTTTATAAAAAAAAAAAACTTGCGAACCCTGTAGTACAAGCCTCAACAAACATTCGGGTATTAGTCCATATGTTCACCTTTGCCCCTGAAATGGAATGAAATGGCAAACCTAATCCCAATTGCAACTCATAAAAATAGAAGGAAAAAGGAAAAAAGGTTGGCGATCACTGGTTTGACAGCAACTGAAAAACTATGTCTCGTACTTGTGGCATATAGGGTTAACTGTGGGATAAAAGCCAGAAAATAAAGAACAGTGACGGCTCTGCTGATTCCATTGTGCACAGAGTAATTTTACAGTGTAGAGCTCCTATTGTCACTCATGTGTCACTGCTGTAAACACTCCTGGAGGTTAATGTATAAATGTAACAGCCATGTTAAATCCACAGGCTGCTCAACCGACTGACAGGATGAAATACAACATACAATGTCTTAAGGTAAGCTCGCCATCAAATTAAAAGTGTAATTTCAATGGACATAACAATTATCAAACTGGAAATGCTGCAATTTCCGAAGTACCATAATTTCCTTCACAAAAATGACCTATGCGTGAAAATGGCTAACAGTGTGATTTAGACCTGTACAAACAAAACATGACATTTTTGTTTTAGGTTCAGTTCAGTTCAGTTCATTCACCTATTGTATTTATTTATTTTTTGTCAATTCTCCTGGATGCATTTAAAATCTGAACTTTTTATCATGAAAAAGCTATATTCTCTAAACAGCCGAATGAATCGCATCAGGTTTGTGAAGTCGTAGTGTATCATTTTTTTATATCATGCTTTTGTGAGTGGAAAATTGATGTGCAGGAACATGGGCTTGTGGGCGGAGTCTTGGACCAAATCAAACTACAGCATTTTGCGTCAGAGCAGAGGGGCTCCCAAAGGTTGTTCACAAAACAAACAAAAGAAAATGAGCTTGAAATAAACTTAACAGAAGATATTTAAATGTACAGTACTACTTTATAACTGTATTAATCCTACAGACATGGTTATTGATTGAACATTTACAGGTCCTATATTGAGCAAAATTGACTCTTGTGAGCTTTAAGTCATGTTCGAATGTTTGAGTAATCCTCTGTTCCAACTTGTGATGTCACAAAGTGGTAGCTTTCATGTTAACAGCTTTATCTTTACCTGTTCAGAAGAGATATTGTCAATCCAGGGCCGAAATGATCCAAATGATTCTAGGTGAAGGTGTATGGAGTTTAAAAACACAGTGAAGCATTTCCTGTATTACCACATGACATCACAAGGTGGAAGAGAGTGTTTTTTGTTTGAGAAAAGAACTCAGCGTAAATATGCAGGGCTTGTGTGTTAAACATGGATGAAACAAAACACAACTCCAGGTCTGTTTGTGATGAGGAAACAACATTATAACAGATGAGAAAACAGTGTAATATGGAGCCTTTAATCAAAGGGGAGTGAAACATGACATATGCTATTAAATGTATAATAATCAATTATTATTGGGGGGCCCTGTGTGATTTTTGCATCGGTAGGGGGGTCACAACATTGCAGACTTTGGGAATGGCTGATCTATGTGAACAAGACTGGTTTTCTAATGCATTGTTTCCCAAAGACAGGGTCGTGACTCTTGGGTGGGTTGCATTTTTTAGAAGGTCGCCAGCCTGTCACGATCTGCACGTAGGTCTGCAATATACACTTCTGACACATGAGCGAGCGAGTGAATCAGCAAATATATTATTGTCACTCTGGATAAGCATTTCGTAATATCCTGTCCTGAGCAGGGCCAGTATTTCTATGCTTATTTCTTTCACAACTACATATATGTGTGAATTGGGATTTTCTGTGCTCACAAAAATGAAGACAAAGCTCAAAAACAGACTGAATACTGTGCCTGATCTGCTGCTGCACTCTGCTCCTGCACCCCGGACTGGAACACACTACAAAAACACAGACAGGCCCACCTATCTCATTAGAAATGTTGAACTGTTAAGACACTGCATAATTTCTAATCTTTTTGTAATTATTTTATTGACTATTTTGTTCCAATATTGCTGGTTCAATTGAATGTTGAAAAGAAAAAGAAACGGGCTACATTTATTGTCCAAATATGTGACTTATGGATCCTTTTATTGCTGCTTCAATGTTTTTCATTGTTTAAAACTTGAGTAATACTAATTGTTCAGAGAGACACGATCACTCAGTCAACAATAAAATATCCTCATTAATGTTCAATAATGGTCAAATCCACCTTTATTTTGCGATTTATGAATAATGTCTATTGACTTGGGTTGGGAAGGTTTGTGACTTTTAAAATATGAGTCCCCAGAAGCAAAGTTTGGGAAACACTGTACCAATGAATCTGGAGGTCCAACATAGTAAACTTACAACACACTAAAAGTCCTTGTTAAATCAACAGCTGGTGAAACGGGGAGGAGTAGGCCTCAGTCAAATACACTCCAGTAGTTTGGCCATAAACTGCTAAAGAACTTTAAGAACTGTGGCATATCCCAGCGTTACCGTGGCAACCCTTTACCACCACAGCACTGTAAAAAGAGCCTGACCTACTTCAGTCTTCAATCGCACTTACAGACCTCTACTAGTATCCTAAAAGAAGACATAATAGTAGCAGATGGTCTTGTTCATTCTTTGTTTTTGTCCTGGGTTCATAGTTGACTGCAGAGTTGCTGGTGGAAGAAGAACTTATTTTTCTTACTTAAAGGCCTTACTTCATGTTGTTTTTTTCCTGAAATGTTCTACAATATGGCTTGTAATTTAACTATCTCCATGCAGACAAACATGACCAGGCTAGGTCACAGGTCAGATCTATGGAGAAGTGGATGAGCTTGTAGAAATAATGCATGTTTTGTGGTAGTTCTGAGAAATAAAAACACCTGTAATTTAATAAATACAAGCTATATTTGCTTAATGCCATACTGTGGAACACCCCACACAAATCGATAACATCACCATGGAGACAAGCAGATGGCGGACCCTCCACCGGAGAAGTCACACATTGCACCTTTAAGTAAAAGTACAGATATTAGGGCAAAACAATACTCAAGTAAAAGTAACGGAAGTATAGCATGAAAAAAATCGACTAGAAGTATTAAAGTATGCATTTAAAAATGTACTTATAGAGTAAAAAGTAAAAGTATTTTGAGCAGATTTTGGGTTCTTATAATGTATATAAGAACTCAAATGTATTGGTTTTGATACATTTTGTTCAATCTCTTTTTATTTGTATACTTTTGTTTGCTGAAATTATGAATGTGTTAAAATAACCCCTCAGCCTTTTCAGAGGGTCTCAAACAATAATAAAAATATACTTTTGCTTTTCAGTCCATCTCACTAATGTAGTGAAGTAGAAAGTATAGATACCTCAAATGTAGTGAAGTAAAAGTAAAAAGAATCTACTTAAACATGTACTCAAGTAAAGTACAGATACCTAAACTGTATACAGCCAGTACTACTAGTGAATAGAACTAAACCATGTCTTTAGTTCTACATGGGGGCTAACACAAAAGATGGCAAGAATACGAAGAACTGAAATAAAAAGAAATCCTCTAATAAACCACTGGAACTGAGACCACAGTTTGAGAACCACTAATCTTTTCAACTATAAAAAATGGTTGTCATTAATTGTAAGAAAATGGCCAACCGGACAATAAAAAGTCGATAACAGAAATAACAGGAACTTTTATACTACTTCAAACAAGGGAAAGATTCTGCAAGTTTTACTGTCCATCAGAGGTGGGACCAAGTCATTGATTTGAATGTCTCAAGTAAGTCTCGAGTCTCTGGCCCATAAGTCCAAGTCAAGTCCAAGTCGCCTGCTCTGAGCTTCAAGTTATTTCAAGTCTTTAAACCAAAAAAGTGCCAAATATGGCTTAGATTTGTGCAGTTTATATGACTTTTAAACTACCTTGTTCTTAAAAAGTCATTGTATATTTATATAAGAATTGTAGAAATGTTTTTTTTTTTTTTTTTTCCTTTTTAAATGTCTTGAGAAGAGTGTGAATCATTATGATCAGAATAGAAAGAATTCAGATTTAAAAGTGCTTAATAACAGTTAGTTTGTCGTGTGTCTGCACTGAAATGGAAGGATCATGTTCTATGTAGTTCCCTGTTTTACTGTGTTGTACTGTATATTACTGTAGTACATTTGAGTGTACCATCTCACAGTACTTCAGTTACATCCAAAGTAACAATAAAGAAGCGTGACAGACATGTTCCAGCTTGTTCCTGTAAAATTAAGCACAGCATTTATCAACTGTGAAGAGAAAAGCATTTTCTAAAAACATATATTTTTTTAGGATTTTTTTAGGAGACGCATCAAGTCTAAAGTCTAAGTCTAAAGTCACAGGGCTCAAGTCTGAGTCAATTCATTGACCTTAAAGTCCAAGTTGAGTCCCAGATCTTTGTCTATTTTATCAAGTTAAGTCTCAAGTTCTAAAAATAGTGACTCAAGTCTGACTCGAGCCTAAGTCACGACCTGCAAGTCCCCACCTCTGCCGTCCAGACTGGAATGTTAATAAATATTACACATAGAAAAACATATACTGTAATTTGGACTTATTTTTCTCATATCTTATTTATTTATTTTTATTTCCATTGTTATTTGCTTTCAGACATTATTTTTGAGCTGCAATGTCCAAATATTAAAGGTGCACTTTGTAACTTTTAGGATGAAAGGTCAGTCACCATGGAGATGTTGCTTTGGAACGCCAATTTACAGGTTTGGTTTGTGGAGAAGTGGGCCGATTACAGTAGAATTTATATTTTTCAAGGTATTGTTTTATTGTTAAACATCAAGAGTTAAATAATAAGTAAGTTTAATGCCATACTGTGGTACATTCTAGCAAAAGCAATCTCCCCAGCATATCTCCATGGACACAACCAGGTCCCGGATTCTTACCAGAAAAGTTACATCATGCATCTTTAAAAAAAAATAAATAAATAAAAAAATCCAAGAGTTTTCCAGAGTCCAAAGTTTACAGGAACAATTTAAAAATGTGTAAATAATGAAAAGAAAAAATAAAATAAAATAAAAATCACTACATAAATTATATTTTTGGGGTGAAAATCTTCTCAACCCCTTTACTTCACTGTTCTTAACTTTACCCCCCTTTGAACGGGAAAAAACTTGGGCGGAGTTTAACTGGATGTCCATTCTCATCGCTTAAAGACACATAAATCTAACTCAAGCTGTGATCCTTAACAAGGCCTCTGTACCGCCAATACAGCTCGGGTTTTCCCCTCTTCTCAAACGCTTTTCACCCTCTGCTTTCTTTTAATCAACAGCTTTGGCCGTATACAATCTGACAAAAGACATAGGACCAAATGACCCCCCCACACCTCCTCTCTCTCTCCTCTCTCTCTTTCTTCCTGTTCTTCACTGTAACTTTGCTGCCTGGGCCGCCCCAAAGCGACGCCATGACAACGCTCGGGTTGTAAGAACGGTATGAAAACGTCAAACAGTGGCGGAGGTGGTGGAGGCAGTGTACAAAAGCCCCAGAACTTACATGTGATGGACTGAAGGAGGATTTCCCAGAAGAGCAGGTCTGCTTCAGGAAAGACAGGCACTATGGAAATACATGTAACACACAATATGGAAAAACATTACTATAAGCACAGAAGAGTTGGGATATATACATAAAGAAAATATTATTGTTTCTATTGGACCTAGGTCTTCTTGCCAATTACCACTGTAAATGTTTTATTCTGATGCCTTACGTTGTGCACTAATAAATTAATAATGGATTATGTTTTATAGGCATCAAACTGTACCCCATCTAAGGCTACACTCAGACTGCAGGCCTTAATGCTCAATTCGGATTTTTTTGTGAAATCCCTTTTTTTTTTTTTTTTTGCGAGGTCGTTCACGTTTCCAATTAAATGCGACTTGTATGTGATCTCCAGTGTGAAGTTTAAATGCCGCAAAAGTGTCCCACATGCACGTTGGAGGATACAATGATGTCACAGTGTTTACAGAAGTAGCCTAAACACTGGGTTTGTCTCCCAAAATACGGTTCAGTTCTTGGTAAAATGGACACGTTACACGTCCATGACCACTTTGTTTGTTTGAGTATTTAGCCTCCTTGTATTTGGCTCGCAGGCTCTTTATTTTTCATTGATATTAGTCCCAGGACCGCCTGTAGCCGCACTTGGCTATTTCTTTCGGCAATCATTTCAAAAAACCACCCGGTTATGATAAGGCCTCTCCAGTTTGGCCTGAATACAGCAATCTCTCCAAATGTCGATAAACTCACTAACCTCGCTTTCCCTCCATTGACTAGACTCTGAGCCTGACGTGTAGGTGGGATGAATGTGACCTGCCCGTTCAGACTGAAGTCACATGTCAAAAGATCATATCCAAGTGGCCTGGGTCACATTTGAAAAAAATTAAAAGATCAGATACAGGTCGTATAGGGGCAAAAAAATCGGTTTTGGGTCACTTCAGGCTGCAGTCTGAACCCAGCCTAAGGCTTACCATGGCACAGTCAGTTTCTTGTGACTGCTAAAGCAGCTCTCTGGCATTTTGTTTAGTAAAGGTAACTGATCAGAAGAAAAACGTTGGAGACCCATGCTATAGAATATTCAGCATACAAACTCAGGTTTAAAAAAGATTAATTAAAATTGACAATGGAAAAACAAAACAAAAACAAACTTCCAAGCAATGGTACTACAGTGTGATGATACACAAATTTCAATATAATTTGCAAAACAAAATCATAATATTTTGTTTTCAAATATTGCAATATAGTCTCATAGTTCTGCTAAAATCATTCTAAAACGTCAAAGAGGTACAATTTTGTTTTGTTTTTATGAATTATTACAAAAGCTTTACCCACATGACTACCTCTGAAACTTTTTCTACCATATTCCAAAAGAAGTACTTTTTCAAACGAGTATCTAGTCAGGATATTAGTTGCATTACTGATTAGGGATGTGCAAAAATATCGAAATATTGATATATCATACTGTTTAACGTGATGATACAGTATCGATATCGGGGATTGCTGTATCAATATATCACCAAGAATTTTTTATTTTTTTTTTTTGATTAGTGAAATGAAACTCATATATCTGACACATTTGAGATTTTCACTGTTTTGATGATTAAAATGTTTGTGTTTCATTTTAACTTTGCACAACTACTACTACTGCTACTACTACTACACTTGACATTTTCACTGTTTTGAGTAAAATTGATGTTTTTCATATGAAATTAGTGGTTTAATAAAGACTTTTAGTATCACAGCCATGATTTAGCCTTTGTTTTTTACTGAACCGTGTCAAATCGTTTTGAAATATATTGTGTCGTATTGAATCGAAAACTGTATTGTATCGTGGCCTATGTATCGAGGTATGTATCGTATCGGCAGCTTCTTAATGATAGTCCTACTCAGAACCCAGCCAACATATCCCTGACTCAACTAAGTATGAGTCTTGAAAGTATTCCCAAGAAGATTTGTCATTTCCAGCACGGGTTCCAAATGAAAGCCATCATACTTGTACAGCATCAACCCCGTCTTCCATTCCTTTGGTAGGCTACAGTGCATTTGTCTCTCTTGGGTAAACTGCACCGAGCGAAGTGAAGGAGTTGTAAAAAGACATTCCTGACTGGTCATCATCGGGGGCCATGTTTGACCGGCCTAATCTAGCTGTAGCAGATTGTCTTTACAGCCGCCCCCTCCACCATCAATCAGACCGGGGCTGAAGAGCCAGAGGACAGCGGCCAGCGTCACAGCGTTACCACGGAAACCGCCTTTTAAAGCTGCCATATAAACCGCATAAGGCCCAGGCATGGCACAAAGAGAATGGGACAGAAAAGACGGGGTGGTCTCACAAAGCTGACCGCAGTCAAACATGGACGCTCTCAGGGTTCATGTGAAATTAGACACAGTGAGCTGAATGTTAATATACGACTACTGACCTACTTTTCGCAAGTCACAAGCAAGAGAAGATTTACATGTAACAAGGACCATGCAGACAATCAAAAAAGCTTCCAAAAATAAAGACACCAACGTTTTATAATTGTTGCTTTTCCAGTGAGAACTCTTTAGATATAGGTTGAGGATTTTGAGGACATAGGATATAATGGTCTGTCAGTGGCTTTGTTTACATGCATAACAAAAATCAGATCATGTTGTGATTTCTGGAGTTATCAGATAATGGAAATGTCATGTAAACAGCTACATCTGATGTGAGTGACACGGTTTCCCTCTGATGTTCACACAGGGTTTGACAAGGGGAAATGATGCAAAAAAGTAACAATGCGTTCGTCCGATCCGATTGCAGTGTTGGAAGGTTAAAATGTATTCCCCTACAGATTACAGATTACATACCCCAGAATGTAGTTTGTAACATAATCCATTAAATTACTTAAAGTGAGTAACGTAATCTGAATACTTTGGATTACTTGATTTGCTGTAGAGACAAAGATATCTTCACATAAGATATTTTGTCTGCTAAAAGACAGAGCCCAAAAGCCCAGACTTTACTTAACCATATTAAAATATTATTGATAGAAGAGGAGGAGACACATCCGCACAGCATGGTTTAGTCCTGTTAAGTCCTGTTAACTTCTGTTAAACCCTGGTTTAGTCCTGGTTTAGCTCTAGTTTAGACCTGGTTTAGACCTGGTTTAGTCCTGGTTTAGTCCTGGTTTAGACCTGGTTTAGACCTGGTTTAGTCCTGGTTTAGACCTGGTTTAGTCCTGGTTTAGACCTGATTTAGTCTGGTTTAGACCTGGTTTAGCTCTAGTTTAGTCCTGGTTTAGGCCTGGTTTAGCTCTAGTTTAGACCTGGTTTAGACCTGGTTTAGTCCTGGTTTAGTCCTAGTTTAGACCTGGTTTAGCTCTTGTTTAGTCCTGGTTTAGTCCTGTTTTAGACCTGGTTTAGATCTAGTTTAGACCTGGTTTTAGTCCTAGTTTAGTCCTGGTTTAGACCTGGTTTTAGACCTGTTTTTGACCTGGTTTAGACCTGGTTTAGCTCTAGTTTAGTCCTAGTTTTGTCCTGGTTTAGACCTGGTTTAGATCTAGTTTAGACCTGGTTTTAGTCCTGGTTTGGTCCTGGTTTAGACCTGGTTTAGATCTAGTTTAGACATGGTTTTAGTCCTGGTTTAGACCTGGTTAAGATCTGGTTTAGACCTGGTTTAGTTTCCAGCAATGTGTGGAATTACCAAAAAAAAAAAAAAAATTAATTAAATACTGAAAATACCGTTTTGTTATCCATTTATTTCAACAAAGTAACTGTAATCCAATTACCACTCACTGAAACAGTAACTGTAACTGAATACAGTTACTCATAATTTGTACTCTGATTATGTAACTCCGGTACATGTAATTCGTTACTCCTCAACACTGCGAGCTTGAAGCATATTATTATGTTTTGTGTGTCTGACTCAGAAAGTAGAGTGTAGCCTCACCACAACACTGACTACCAGACCCATAGGCAGTGGTATAGTGGTAAGGTATTGCAGTAAAACGAATGAGTGAAATTGTCATTTAAACCACCAAAGTGTCCAAACACAATCAAAACAGTTCATATTTACATGTCACGTGGGCAGAGCGATCTTGGATTCTGACTCTGAATCCTTGCTCGGTCTACTTTTCGAGTCGTGCCCTCCCAGGAATAGGGGCGTGTCATGCATGTCACTAGGCAACTTCCTCGGAAAACCAATTCGAAAGGATAATCGAACGCAGGGTAAAGTGGCAAACATTAAAATTAAGGAGAACATGTTAAAGATTAAAAGGGTTATTTTAAAATCCATTGTTTTTGATTATTAAAGTTTAAAATCAGATCAAACTAGAAAAGCACTCAGAGAGCGCAGACCTCCGCCAAGGACTACCCCCATTTTTTATATAAATTGCGATAAAATCAGTCTTCTGGATCAGATCCGGATCAGCCTTTGGAATATGAAAGAGGATCCCATTGTCCATCCCTGAGTCAAATTTCATGGGGTTTGGTCAATAATTAACCGAGATATTGAGAAACAAAATTTTTGGCCCCATTTACCACAATGTTAACTAAAATTTCAAAGTGATCCAGAATCCAGGATTTCTTCCGGATCACCCCCAAAATGAAATCAGTTCTTCCTTTTCACATTTCCAACAAATCCTGAAAATTTCATCAAAATTGGTCCATAACTTTTTGAGTTATGTTGCTAACAGACAAACAAACAAACAAACAAACAAACAAACAAACAGACAAACGCCGGCAAAAACATAACCTCCTTGGCGGAGGTAATAATTGGGCTATCTGATTATGGGGGTCCGCCGCTTATTCCTACATCCCTTCATTACGTGTCTCTATTTAGACGTGCCCATTTTCCGACACGTTTCAGTAGCACCATTCCGACATGTCATATATGGTGTTCTCTGCAGACATGACGAGATGAATGAAGCACAAACAGCCCATGCAGCCTCTGTTTTAGATTAGATATTTGACTGTTTCCCACAGGTTTATTTAAAATAAAGAGAGGGCGAAATCTGTTTTTTTGTTTGACACTAAAACCTCCATTTCCCATTTTATTGTTTTTTGTTCTCAACTGAAATTCAAAAGAACGAACGATAAACAGA